TGTTGGATCTTGTTACGTGTAGTATGCCCCACCCATAGTTTAATAATACATGCCTTATCACTGTAAGGACCTCCTATGGGAGCATGCCTGGGAAGTTTTCTGTAAGATGAATTAGCCACATCAGCCTAAATCAGATTGTCAACCATGGTGATTCACAGGCCTTATTATACTAATCCTTTTTGTACTCTGCTGGTGATTATATTTCTAAGTCAAGAACTCATTGCTGCTTTTCTGAGAATAATTTTGTGACTCTCTACCTTTTTGCAGGAAGATCTGTTTCAGCAGCCAGGCCTGAGGTCGGAATTTGAGCGTGTCAGGGACTGTTTGGATAAAGGAATGATGGATAACCTCTGTATCCTTCCAATGTATGAGTGGTATGTGTGCGTATGAATATGAGTAAGACAGAAAAAGAAAAGAATAATATTTTAAGGCTCAAAATCTGATAGCATGCCTTCCACTAGCATGTTTTTCTTCAAGTAAGAACTTAGAGGACATTTTACAGTTTTTTTTTTTTTAAAGATTTTATTTATTTATTTATACAAGCACTGGGTATAGTCAGAAGCATGGGAGGGTGAGAGAATTCACCAGAGCCAGAGCAGAACAGAACAGGCAGACTGACGGAAATACACTGCTGAGGGGAGCAGCGGGCGCGACAGGAGAGGTCTGTCACACCATGTGGAACCCTGGCCAGCAGCCCGGGATCGAACCGGCGCTGCAGAGGCTGCGGGCAGCTTCGCAGCCCAGCGCTCAACTGCTGCGCCACCAGGGGAGGCCCAACATTTTACAATTTTAAGCAACCAATATAGTGAGAACTCAGGAGGGTCGTCTTAGCTGATAGACAGCTTGGCCCCTTCAAGATGCCAGGCTGGCATCCTTGCTCTGAGCAGAGAGCCTAGATGGGCAGGCAGGCAGTGCTTCTGGCAGACCCCTGCTCCTGGGCTTTTTCCTAACCATGGCAGCGTCCGCTCCTGTTCCTTAACGAAGGGGCTACCAGCCGCTAGCAATCATTCTGTAGCCGAGGCCTTGCTGCTTTTCCTAGAGAGTCTGCCAGAGCCCGTCATCTGTTACAGTGCCTACCATAACTGCTTGGAGTGTTCTGGCAACCTCACAGCAAGTAAACAGGTGAGGGGAAGTGTTGAGCATCGGGGTACACACGTCGTAGACCCAGGCCTCTTGGGGCCTGTGGGAATAAAGTAGGCGCAGTCCCTCAGATGCAGTGTCTTAGAAACTCCATGTCTTGCCTTCCCAAACCCGTTCTTCCTCTCATGTCCCTTTTTCTTTTAATGACATCACCTTTAATTCCAAGACTCAACCCAGAAACTTGAGTCACTTCTGACTCCTCCTCTTACCTCCCACATGCCCAGTCACCTTGACTTATCCCATCTTCCATTCTCATGCTACTTTGCTGGCTCAAGGCCCCCCACACTGGCTCTCCCTCTACTGAGTTGTTTTGAACAATGCCATCAGGTTGTGCATTCTGAACTTCTCATCATGTTACTGTTGGTTAGATACCATACTTGGCTGTTCAGTGCCAATGTATGATTTTCTTAAACAAATTTTTAAAAAAGATTTATTTATTTACACATACAAGAACTGGGGTGCAGGCCAGAGGTGCAGGGGGAAGGGGTGAGAAGATTCACCAGCGACAGAGTGGAGAGCAGAACAGGCAGATCTACTGAGATAGACTGCTGAGGGGAGCAGCGGGCGAGACAGGAGAGGTCTGCTATGCCATGTGGGTCAGCTCCCTGGCCGGGGATTGAACTTGTGCTACAGTGGCTGGTGATAGCTTCATAGTGCTGACTTTAACCCCTGTGCCACCAGGGAGGCCCAGGTTTTCTTAAACAAATTTTTGAAACTTTTAGTGATCTAGCCTAGTGGTTCATCCGTATGACAGGCCAAAGCAAGATGATCTAGAAAACTGGCTAAACAGTACAGGTTCCAGAACTGCATCTCACATCCACTGTCAGAATTTCTTTTGGAATATGTTTTGTACAAGCTTGTTAACTACTTTGGACATGCAGATAGCTGGATTATTCATTGAATCCCAGCCTGATCAGCCCTTCCAGACTCATTGCCTGTTCAAACAGTTGTGTTCCTGCTAAAATTGACTTCTCACAGTGTGTTCTCTCTATACATCTCACTGTTTTCCTTCTCTAAACCCTTTTTTAAACAGATTCATTTGCCTTAAACACCCTAGTTGTTACACCTGCAAGCACTATCTTGTATTATATTCAAGACCCAAAACTAGTGTCTCCTATTCTCTTATGTCTATTAAGAGCACACAGTTAGAAATTTGATTTCTAAATTCATATAGTGCTTCCTCTGTGTTGCCCTTTTGACACTTGTGCCAAGAGGTAACTGATCACATTTTTATGAACACAGTCTTATTCATGTATTCAAATCATGTACTCAGTTCCTGTTATAGCGGGCACTTGACAAATGATTTGACGAGCAAAAACATAAATCCCAATTCCTCCTCTTCCAGGTCATTTCTACTCTCCCCACAGCTCACAAAAGTGTCTTCAACTACTTAATAGCATTTTTGCAAGAACTGCTGAGAAATTCAGCAAAAAATCATCTGGATGAGAATATTCTAGGTAAGCAGCATCTTCCAGTGTCTCCTTCTCTGCCAACTGAGAAACTCATGATGAGAAATGTGATGGAGAGAAGTCCCAGATCCATTGCAGTAGAACTTAAATGTCAAGATCTGGGCAAAAGTTAATCTCAAATAGCTTTTTTAAAAATTATTTTGATTGAAGTTACTATGATTTACAACACTGTGCATGTTTCAGGAGTATAGGCTCACGCCTTTTCAAATATAGGTTTTTCAGACCACTCCTACCACCAAAGCACTAATAATCCTATACCGTAGTCCCTTAGGCCCCCATCCCACTTTGCTCCTTACTTCCTCCCCCTCTCCCAACCCTTAGCCTCTGTTCTATAGTCAGATTTTAAGGGTTTCTTTTAGTTTGACTCAAATAGTTTTTTTAAAGAAGAAAAGATTGCTTTGGGGCACCCCTCCCATTCTTAACAACTCAAGAATAAGTTGTACTTCTTGTGCTGAGTCATTTGTTTTCTGTGTTATTCATGCAGCTAGCATATTTGGCAGCTTACTGCTTCGAAGCCCAGCTGGTCACCAAAAGCTTGAAATGGCAGAGAAGAAGAAGGCACAAGAATTTATTCACCAGTACCTCTGCAACTCACCCTGAGCCTCTTTAGCTCCTCTCCTACTTTTTCTGAGGTAGCCAATTTCCAGTCCCACCTGTTTGAGCTCCATAGCTGCCTTAAAAGGATATGGGCCTCAGGGAGCAAGAGTGGCAGCTACCTGTTTCTTGAGCCCTCCCTGCCACAACAGCCACCACACTCAGAGCTACTATGAGTTGTGAAGGCTGGCGGGGAGACCCACCACCATAAAACTGACATTCAATGTTCAACTTTAGTTATTTAACACAGATAGAGCCTTTTTTTCATTTTAAGAATGTTTAAATAACTACTTGTGCTCTCGCAACCTGCCTCTAGGGCACAATGAGTGCCTTCCCTGTTGCCAGGGCGAGCTCCCCATGGTCAGATATTTGAACACACTTTGGAGTCCTGAAGGGAGAATGAGTTGGACAGCAAGAATGCAAGTGGAAGCTGCTGGATAAACAAACCACAGTCACTCCAGATGCTTCTAGTTCTCTGTGTGAGGACCTCTGTGTATGCAGACACAAACCCTACCAAACCCTACCCCCCTTCCCACACAGATGTGGCTCAACAACTTTGGGGCTAGTCACACAGCCTCTGAGGGCACTACAGTGGCTTGAAAATGAAAACTCTGAAGAAATGGATGTGCCAGTGAAACAAGTGGGATTTTCCGGGCCAGCAAATCCTTCAAACTGTATATGATGCATTCCCTCTCTTGTAATTGTAATATATTTTAACGATAAATGTATTTTTAACAGTGATGGTTTGTATGTTTTTTCCCTCTTAAGAGATAGCAGTACTCAGTAGCAAGACCTTTGTAACTTAAGCCACAGAGGCCAAAGAGGCATTTGCCTGGCAGCGGTGGGTAGCAGTCATCGTTCATATTCTTCAAGGGAGAGAGATGACCCAGGCATGGCCCCTTCCTCCTGACCCCTGATCTAGTCTGAGGGGAGGTGTGCTGGGCTTGAGACTTCCAGAAAAGGGGTTTTAGGGGCAAACGGGCAGTGACTTCTGGGAGGTTCTAAGAGATTTTCCAGGCATTTAGAGAACACGGGAGCAGAACGAAGACACGTGGAGTCGATTCGTGGACACCGGACTCGACTACTGGGCTGCGTGAACGCGAATTAGATTCGGCCCCGCGGGCTGCCGGGGAGAACGGTAGAGAGAGGGAGCGGCCGGCAGGTGGCGTCGGCCGGCCCGGGCGCCGGTCCCGGGGAAGCGGGCAACCTTCGGCCGTGGAAAAAGTTGGGAGCGACAGCCGGGGCGCGACTGCGTGGAGAAGGGACTGGGCGGCGCAGGGCACCGGGTGGGCTGCAAGAGGCGGCGGCGACCGCTGGCTGAGCTTGGAACAGTCCCCAGTTCTGCTCTGTGGGTCCACCCCCACCTCGCGAGCCCCCGGCCGGCGTTGACTCCGACAGCGGGGAGGGGAGGCTGGGGCCGCCGGGACAGCCCCGCGAATGTCACGCCCCGGCTCTCCCCGCGCGGGCCGCGCCGGGCTCGCCGTGGTCCTGCCCACGGCAGTTGTGGCTGCGGGGCGCGGGCGGCCAGCGCAGGCCGGACCGGGTCACCTGGGATAAGGGCTCGGGGTTCGAACCCGGTGCCGCGGGAGCGACGCCCGGACTGCGCAGCGGGCGGACGCGAGGGCGCTCCCCAGCCGCGGGCCGCCCCGCGCCGGGTGTCCCGGGAGCCCCGCCCTGCCCCTCGCGATCGCCAATTGGAGGCGCGCACCCGCCGCCTCGACCAATCAGGAGCGCCAGGGGAGGCGGGGCGGGCATCGCCCCTTTCCTCCGGAAAGCGGAAGCGGAAGTGACGTTCGGGGAAGGTGGGGGCAATCATGGTGCCGCTGGGGAGGGGAGAAGCTGCCGCTGCCGCCGTTGCCGGGAGCCGCGGAGGTAAAAGGCGAAACTAGACGCGGCCTGGGCTGGGGACTTCCCGGGGGGCGCGGGACTTAGGCTCCCTCTTGAAGCATTTCCTAGTAGAGACCCCAGGACGATCACCAGAGGGACCCCACCCCTCCTCCGTTTCCATGGGGATGGGTATCCAGCCCCCCTCCCCTGTTTCCATGGAGACCCGGACCCTGCCCCTCTGCGCCCGGCTTGGAGCCCCCCAGCTGTCTTCGGATTTTTCCGTTTAGCCCTTGGCTGGGGGCTATCCCAGGCAGGTTCCTTTACCCAGCCTTCTCTCAGGGGTGCCCCGTTTGTACTCGTTGGTCACCCTCAAACCTCCTGGTCTTGTTTGTTCCGGACAGTTGGTCTCTGCGTTGCCATCGATGGTGTCGGGGCAGCCCAGTGGGGCCCCCGTGGCGCTTATCTCTGCTCTCAGATGCGGCGAAATGTACATCTCCCGGGTTGCGTAAGCCAGAGCAAGGGGTCGGGCCGGTTCCTCCCGGATCTGATCCCTTGGCCTGTCTCTGATAACCACCCCTCTGTCTAGCTGCCCCACTAAGTAAAGGCACGCCTTCTAACCCCGGGCAGCAGAGGGAGATTAAAAAGTGCAAAGCCAGCCTGAAAACTAAAAGTGATGTGCCGATTATTTGAAATATCCTCTCTCTGACTGGCAGACCCGTGTTTGTAGAATCTGTGTGTTTGTAGGTAAAGGAAGAATCGCTATTCCAGAAAAAGAATGCTCCAAATTTGGTATTTCCCCCAAGAGAGTATTTCTTCCCAAGAGAGTTGTTCTGCAGGTTTTTCATTCATTTAACTGACATCTTTGAAGTCCTAATGGGTGTCAGTGCATTGTGCGTGGGGCAGTAGAAACAAAAATAAGAGTCATCACTCCCTCACCCCGGAAAGCACACTATACAAGCATAGATAGCTTCTAGTGGGCACCAGGTTGTTTTTGGAGATAATGAAGGATTTTCATTAGATATACTTGGTTAGGGATCGGCCCCTTTTACCCAGAGCTGAAACATCTGTCAAGGGAGGAGAGGACAAAGTCAAATTTATTTTCTCTATTAGTGTCATTGTGTTTTAACACACATTATCTCTTTTACTTTGAATAACAATTTTGAGGGAACGGGAATTACCAATCCCACTTTACACACAAGAAAAATGATGCCCAGAAAAATGGGTACCCAGTAAGTACTACTTACTCAAGTCGTAGGGGCAAAGCCAGGATTTGTAGATAGGTGACCCTTCCTCCAAAACCCTGCTCCTTCCAACATTAACTTGGGGAATATTTGAATGGGGGCTTCTTTACCTTCAGATTTATAGCAATTCAGCCTTGGAGAAGTTTTCCCTTTATCCCCCTTAAGCATTTTGACCAACCTTCTTGTTGTTTGTCAGAAAGGCACATTTGGGAGCTCTGTAAACTGCTACTCACTACCTCAGGTCTTTTTTTTTTTTTTTTTTTTTTTTTTTTTTGGTGGGACCCTCGGGGGAACCAACCGGCGATGCAGAGGCTGTGGGCAGCTTCGCAGCCCAGCCCTCAACTGCTGTGCCACCAGGGGAGACCCACTACTTCAGTTTTTTAAAAACACATTGCTTTTCCTTTAAAATGACTTAATGGTTTCAATGTTAAACTTATTTCCAAAGAGATGATTTTTTAATTTTCTTTGGTCTGCTCTAAAAATGAGAGGGGAAATGTGCCCTGTGGTTGCTTGAGGAGGTCCCTGGGTCCTGTGGTAGGGCTCTCACTCTGGCTTTGTTCTGTTGCAGACAGGTCATTACCTTTCCATTTCTCACAATTGGGCTGAACACGATTGAACCATGGGGGAACACAGTCCAGACGACAACATCATCTACTTTGAGGCAGAGGAAGATGAGCTGACCTCCGATGACAAGATGCTCAGGTTTGTGGATAAAAACGGACTGGTGCCTTCCTCATCTGGAACTGTTTATGATAGGACAACTGTTCTTATTGAGCAGGACCCAGGCACTTTGGAGGATGAAGATGATGATGGACAGTGTGGCGAACACTTGCCTTTTCTAGTAGGGGGTGAAGAGGGCTTTCACCTAATAGATCATGAAGCAATGTCCCAGGGTTATGTGCAACACATTATCTCACCAGACCAGATTCATTTAACAATAAACCCTGGTTCCACGCCCATGCCAAGAAATATCGAAGGTGCAACCCTTACTCTGCAGTCGGAATGTCCAGAAACGAAACGTAAAGAAGTAAGTAAAGCAGTGGGTGAGGGTGCATTGTGGCTTTGGGGAAAGTTTGTACTCACCTTTTGTTGGCAATTTATTGGGGTACAGGGAGTCCTTGTATCTGTGGTGGCTTTACTTGTTGACAGTATATGAGCTTTTTTTCTGCATGTGACTGCTTTCTGGAACTTTGGTTTGTGTGGCTACACTGAAATTTGGGGAAATATAATTTTTCAAATATTCCTCACCAAATGATAAAAAATAAACTGGAAGTTTCACTGAAGTAAATGCATGTTTCTCATGTGGAAATAACTAGATTCAGCTTACCCCTCTGTTTTGGAGATGAATGCTTGCTGGAATATGCTTTATCATGTTAGTGACTAGTTAGTGAATAATAAAGTTTACCTTTCTTTCATAAGAAATTCAAGCAAGAGATAGTGAACGAGAACAGGTTGTCTAAAATATGTTTTCATGCTTATATTTACCTAATGTGAGTAAAGTAATGTATCTCACAATACTTTGAAAACTGTAAAACATTGTACAGATTGTACAAGGAACTGATTTTGCGTCAGTTAGAGAAAATAAACCACTGATCATTGCAATGCCAGGGACTAAATGTAAGATAGGGTAATTTATTTAGCAATTTTTTTTCTTTTGCTGTAATTAAGGTGAAAGAGGAGGATCTTGTTATTCAAGGCAAATGGCTTTTCTTTTGCTAGTCTTAGGCACTCAGGGCTAGAAGGAGTCCTAGTGAGACCATCTTGTCCTACCTCCACCCCATGCAGGAATCTCTGTACAGCATCTCTGATATCAATTCGTCTGCCCTCTGTCTGAACACTCAGAATGATGAGATTACAGTGTTTCACAGCTCAGCCTAATACATTTGTTGGCCAGCTCTAATTGTTAGAAAGCTTTTACTTGTACAGAGCCAAAATCTGCCTTTCTACGGCCGTTGCCCAATGGTTCTAGTTCTGTTCTGTCTTCGTGAACAATAGCAAGAAACCTTCCCCCACAGGACAGCGCAAAGTCGTTTACAATGGGTTTCTTTTCATCTTGTATAAGCTAAACCACCTCTGTTTGTTTAAATATCCCTCTTATGACATCTCTCCCGAGTTTCTCATCAACTTGGTCACCTTTTCTGTGAATTCCAAAGTCCTCCTAAAATTCATATTTGAGCACAATTTCACAAATGTGAGTCACCTAGCACTGCATACTGTGTGTGACTCTTATCTCAGTTTGGACACTACTGTAATGATTGTATGGTCTTTATTTTATTAGCAATAGAAGCATACTGTTAGCTCATACTTGGAAGCCTCTAGAATAGTGGTTCTTAACTGGGGGCAATTTTGTCCCTCAGGAGACATTTGGTAATATCTGGAGACATTCTTGGGTGTCACACCAGGGAAATGCTACTGGAATTTAGATAGAGGCCAAAGATCCTTTTAAGCATTCTAAACTGTACAAGGTGGCCCCCTACTACAAAGAATTATCTGACCCAATATGTCAATTGACTGTGTTCCAGTAAAATTTTATTGACAAAACAGGCAGTGGGCCATATTTGACTGGCTGATTGTAGTGTTTTGACCCCTGGACTAGAACATAGGGAAGCAGAAGAAGATAAGCATGGAAAGATAATAGATCCAAACATGGAAGGCAGTGATGGCATGCTAAGGGTTTGGACTGGATTTACTCTGGAAATGATGGGAAATCAGTCAAAGTGCCTGAGCCAGGAAGTGATATGGTCCGAGTAACATTTTAGAAGGATTGCTCTGGTAGCAGTGATAGCTTGCTTGTTCACTTAGGAGAAAGTCATGGTTAAGGTTTTGGAGCATTTGAGTCAATGAAGGATTTCTGCCTTGTACAATGGGAAAGATACCAGAACTTTGTTGAGGTATAAGAGAACGTGGTATATTATTGGAGTTTGAAGAATGGGCCCTGAATTGGGCATGATTCGAAGGGTTCAGAATCCTTTTTTCTCAATGTGCTGAGTTTTTTCTGTGTGTTCTCCCCGAGGGGGCCACACAGAGGATTAGCATAGCTGCAAGTCTAGGTGGTGAGTTAAGTGGAGTCCTTGGTATAGGTACTGTATTTTTTTTAAAGATTTATTTATTTATGCACACCAGAACTGGGATGTAAGCCAGAGGTGTAGGGGGTGTATGTGTGAGAGAGGATTCACCAGAAACAGAGTGGGGAACAGAACAGGCAGACCGACTGAAATACACTGCTGAGGGGAGCAGCGGGTGAGACAGGAGAGGTCTGCTGTGCCATGTAGGTAGCTCCCTGGCCAGGGATTGAACTCATGCTGCAGTGGCTGCAGACAGCTTCATAGTGCTGAGACTTAGCCCCCTGCGCCACCAGGGAGGCCCGGGGATAGGTACTTTAACAAAGCATATTCACAGTGTTCTGTGCATACTGGGAAGAAAATGCTTGTCTCTGCTGCTGACCCCACTCTTTAGGATTGATGAAACCATGATAGGAATCAAAGAGACAGGACCAGGAGAAAGTTTGGTGGGGAGATTGATGAGGGTTGGCGTACTTGGAGAAAAGTAAAGTGAACAAGTTGAGAAGCCCATTGGAAATGTAGATATGAATGGTTTGGGATTAGGACTGTGAATTCACACAGGGGTAGAGTTGAAACTGTGGGCAGTTTCCTCAAGGGAGAAGTAAGTTGATCTGAGAATTTAAGTGTGAGAAAGAGAAAGCGGAACCAGAGGTCACGTAGTCAAAAAAATGGGTGGAATGCCGTGTTGTGGGAGCTGAAGGAAGAGAGTTTTGAGAAGTGTGATTATTTCTGTGTAAGCCTGCAGAGGGATTGAGGGACCGAAGAGCAGCCAATAGTTCTGCTCGCTATGCAGTTCACATCATGGGAAGACTCTGGAGTGCTGGGGGCTGAAGCCAGATTTCAGGTGATGAAGTGAGTGGGTCTTGAGGAAACAGGAGGCAGGAAGTGTCAGGTGTTTTTTTTTGTTTTTTTTTTTTTTTTAATAATGGCAGTTGGAGGAAGAAGAGTTATGAGGCAGTAGTAACCCAAGGGATCAATTTTTTTTTTTTTTGGTTCATTCTGTTTAAGAGAATCGAATCATTTTTTCAGCATAGAAAATCTGAACATGGCTTAGGACCTAAACTTTAGGACAGTCTCAGTTAATGATTACTATGTAAAAGTGTTTCAAAAGCAAATGTTTGGGAAACGTTAAGTTAAATCAAGACAGGCTTGTCTGTTACAGGTTTTTTCAGGCCTTTTGAAGTGCTAATTACTAAGAAATGCAAAATTTTGCAAATGTTTTGAAGTTGGGAAGCCATTTTTCAGGTCTCATTTCCAGGAATCAGTGTATTGTGGAACATGCCTTTTGGGAAATGCTGATCTAGACAGAAAAAGAGGAGATGGTAGGGAGGGAATGATGATGCTGTTACTGATATTAGCTGTCACTTTCCCACTTCATACTTCGTGCAAACCTCATTTGCCATTACTGTCTTCAGGTGATTGATAATCATGTTGTATGGGACAAGGTCAGGGGTATTGTGAGCACTTTGTTCACTGTCATGGATTTAGCTCACTGTGCTTTCCTTCCATCGCATTTTTACATTCTACCCATGAGACCTACATAGCAGATTCTTTAAACTCTTTTTGAAATCAGTAGGCATGGGGTTGGTTGGGGATTGAGGGAGAAGCAGCGGTGGCTTTCAGTTTTGAAAAATCTTAACTGAGGACCTCCCTGGTGGCACAGGGGTTAAAGACAGCGTTATTAAACCCATTTAATTGGGCTGAAGAGGCTAATGTTTGTGACTATTTGATAACACTCTTCATGTCTTTTTAACCCCCTCTGCTAACCATTCCTCACTACCTTTTTAAAATGTTTTTTCTCCATCCTCAGGTGTTACTCTTGAGAAATCAGATAGATCATTGGGGAACTAGTCCATGCTCTTGGCTTCCTAAGCAGCTTATTTTCTGAGTCAGGTTTTAGCCTGATTTTCCTGTTTACCCCTGATTGTTCCATTGTTTCCTATAGTATATGATTGGCTTAGCTGTTTGCTTTTCTCCCCTCATACTCAACTTGCGCAAAAATAAACCAACTCAAACCTTGCCGTAGAGACTGTCTCTCCCACAGAGCCACTGGTCATTCTGTCTCTAATTTCACATGTCTTATTCTCATACTTGCTATTTTACTACTTTCTCTACCTATTGATTTGCTGACTTTGAGAAATTTCCATCAAAATATTGTCATTCTGCTCAAGGCCCACATTCTCATGGGTGGCTCCTTTAAGGTCTGCCTACTCCAGGTTTCCAGGCAGCTGTGCTTCCTTCAGTTGCCTCATGCAGTCCATGCTTTCCCAGACTTTTTTGCGTCTGTGACCTGCTTGAGAACCTGCCAGGACTGACTAGTTGCCTCTTCATCCGCCTCTGTCTGAACCTGATTTGTGAATGCAGTGTACCCACCCCCACTGGCCCCAAGGCTAACTGACCTTGCCACTTTTTAGCTGAAAGGTTGGCCCAGAAGTAAACGAAACCCAGGAACCATATATCTAACCTGTTTTTCATCATGCACCAAAATATTCCAGAGCATCAGCTAGAGAAGAGTATCTTTTCCTGCCAGAAGTGCAGTTACAGTTACGCTTTGTGAATTAGGCTGCAGCTGTATTGGTCAGTGATACTTTTGGGGGAGTTTTTTTTTTAGTGTAACAAAATTTAAGTGTCAGTGCTTGCTTCAGCACCACATGTTCTGAAGCTGGAAAGATACAGAGGAGATTAGCATGGCCCCTGCGCTAGGGTGACACACACATCCGTGAAGCGTTCCATATTTAGGAAAAAAATTTAAGTATGAGAATAAGGGGAAATTTGACACAGCGTTTCATAACCTTTGTGCCATGGGTCCTTTACTTTGAGAAACCCAGTTCCCATCTTCTCTCTCTCTCTCATCTTCAGTCAGTTCCTCAGGCAGTGGAATGAGCCAGTCAGGCCAAGATGTGTCTGCTCTCCCAGAGGGGAGTTGCCCACTTTAGTCCTTGCACGCTGTGCTTTTATTTTTTTCACAGGTTCCCTTCTGAGCTCCCACAGAATTGCCATTCAGACTGAAGACAGACTGTTTCTGCTTGAGATTCTGGTGTTAAGGAGCCTTTCATTCTTTCCACAAGTTTTTGCTTATGGAGTATCTACTTTTGTCAAATATCAGGAAGGACAAAAAACAGCCCTGCCCTGAGGGGCCTGGTGTTTAGTAGGGAGACTGCTGGTGGCTGTGTGTGCAGGCTTCTGTAGGAATCCAGGCCTGGAAGCATATTCCATTTTCCAGCAGATGAAACCATGTGAACACTGTCCCCTCATACCTGCGTGTGTCGCCTCCCTCGTCACAGTCCGTACCGAGCCTGCTGGCCTGAAAAAGGGATGCAGTGGGTTTTATGTACATCCTCACTTTCCACCCTGGTGCTGCAGGAGTAACATGTCTCAGATTTTTGTTGTATAGAGGCTATACCTGTTGTGATTGTTGAAATTTGTTAGTTTGTAGGCCATTGGGGAAAGAGCCCAAATTTTAGTTGTTTTTTGACATTTAAATCAAGCTTATTCTTATTGTTTCTTCTGGGATGTGGAAAGGGATAATTTAGACCTAGGTTCCATCTTTGTTTTGGGATACACTATATGGCCTTGGGCAAGCTGCTCCATTTCCTCTTTTGAAAAACTGAAATATAAATATCCCATTGCATTTTATGAAGATTACATGAGATTTATTCATATATAAATATGCAACAGTGTATGCATGTAACTTTTAGCATAATGTTTGGCACATCCTGGTTATTCAGGGAATGTTCATTTACTTTCTCTTCCTTATGGGCCCACATGGTTCTTGAACAAGGTGTGGAAGGAATCTCCAGTTCAAGAAGAAACTAAAATGATCTTCATTAGGAACTCTCTTTGGGAAGCATTTTTCTTCTTAAAACAAGGTTATAAATTGTGTTTGGGTTCCGGAATAGCCTAGAGAATTCCTGGTAACCCTGAATTGGTTGAGTTGTTGATTTAATTCTGCTTTGAAATGTGAACCATCATTTATACCCATGTTTTGAGATGAGAACATGTTTGTAGTCCTATTGCCAGGGGTTCTGTGAACCCTAGCCCTTGCCATGGGTAATCGTCTGCTCTCTTAATTGGCACCCCTTAACTGAAAGTTATTGATACGTTCAGGGTGGGCACCAGGCAAAGCTGAGGTTTGGAAATGTACAACTAGCAAGTGGTAGAACTGACGCTTGAACTGTCTGCCAAAGCATGTTTTTCCATCATAACACATCACTTTCACAAAGAAGGGGGAGAATCAGACACACAGACTTGTGAGTTGTGAAAAGGGCTGAGAAATGAGGGGCAGCAGGATGCGGTCTACTGTGGGGGTGGCCATGGGAGGCCTGTTGAAGAATTGAGGTCAATTCAGAGCTCTTAATAGTGCTACTTGGAACTCTTTGGTTGTGCATTCTGGACATGAGAAGTGAGAAATGAGATCAGTGCCAGCACAGGCAGAGAACTGGTGTCGGGCGGTGGGAAGGTTTGGAAGGAAAGGCACGTTCCTAGTGATGGGGCGGGATATGGCGCTTCCTACAGCCGTAGCAGTCCTGCCAATCACTTGTTTGTAAGAATGTTTATATGCTAAGTGCTGAGAATCAGAGACTCTTGATTGAGCAGGAGGCTGTTAATGTGTGCAGAATCCAGACCTCTCAATCTCATTGCTTTTTCCTCCAGCATAAATCCAGCCTTTTTTCGTACCTGATATTTTTAAGCTTTTGTCTTGTGGAGTTCCAGTATTTCATTTTCTCATTTTTGCTTATCTCATTACCTTTTCTTGTCTGATTCTGTTGATTTAACAGGGAAATTATCTTGGTTAAGTATTTCTCTTATAAATTATCACCAGTTCTCTGAATCCTCAGCTTCCTGCCCAGCACTAACATTAGACCCCATCCTCAGTGACATCTGCTCCCTCTGTGCTCCTGAAGTTGGGCCACATGGGAACATTACAGTGACCATTAATTCTTAAGCTCTCTTGGAGACAGGTTTTCTTTATTAGCCAAGGAAATCTTCAGTGACATTATATTTGTATTATAGACACACTCATTTCAGTAGGCAAATTAATTATGTGTCCCCTCTCTCTCAAGTTCTTTAAATTCAGCCTGGGCATTTATCTTCGAGAAGTCTTTCCTACTCATCCCCAAGTTTGCTTTTTCTCTGTTATAAATCCTTAGCAATAAACTTCTAATACTATACTTTCTTGTTTGTGTATTAGTTTGAATCTCCTCTTGACTTTGAGCTCCTTGCAAGTGAGAGCTGTTTTTGTGGGGGTTTTTTTGTTTGTTTGTTTGTTTGTTTTTGTATTCGTAGCACCTGGGACCCTATCATTCAAGTTTTTGAATCCATGCGTGATATTCTTTAATTATATTTAAATGTACCAAATGTTGCAATACCACTTCTATGTGATCATGAAAACTTGTGTGTTTTTTGCAACTTCCTGTTCTGCTCTAGTTTGAAGAGGTTGTTTTCCCTTTTTGTGAAATTTGGTGTTATCAAAAAATAACTCTGAAAAAACACAAAATAGTGACGGCTGTTTGCTGCTTCCCTCCAGATGGGATTATTCTTTTATTCAGCATATTAGGAGGGGGAAAAGTTATTTGCTTTGACTGTCAGCTGTCTCTCCCACCTTTAAATACAAATTCCTTCCTCAGTCAAATTCTCTCCTCACTTTCTCCCCATCTCTCTTCTCAGCCAGTTTTTGAAAGAGCTCTGTCCATTGTCTCCAGCTCCTCACCTTTGCCTGACTTCTCAGCCTGTTACATTCTGGTATCTGCTCCTACCTTTCCAGGAGAGCTGGTGCTGCCAGGGCAGTCGTGACCTTGTGAGTTGGTTAAATCCAAGAAATGTTTTCTCAGTCATCTCTGCCACAATGGACCTAGATGACCATCCTCCTTGAAATTCTGTTCCTTTGTCACTTGTCACCTGTAGTGCTTATCATTCCTTTCCTTACTTAAGTCTCACTGATTGTTTTCTTTGTTTATTCCTTCATTTTTTAAATTTAGCAAATATGAGTTGACTGCTGTTTCTTCACAAGGCTAGTCCCTGAACAAGACAGATATGGCCCCTGCTCTTGTGAAATATGTAGTCCAACTGGGGAGTAGCCATTAGTTCATTAAATTCAACAAATATGTATTTAGTGCCTGTTGTTTCCAGCCACTGCTGTGCCTAGCAACTAAATAGATAATGAGGTAAATTGTTTAATTATGTTATTGTTTAATCTTAGTTGCATCGGGCCTCCCCGGTGGCGCAGCGGTTGAGCGCTGGGTTGCGAAGCTGCCCGCGGCCTCTGCGGCACCGGTTCAATCCCCGGCTGCTCCCCGGCCACCGGAGGAGGGTCCCACATGGCGCGCAGACCTCTCCTGCCGCCCGCTGCTACCCTCAGCAGTGTACTTTGGTCCTTCTGCCTGCTCTGCTCCCCGCTCTGGCTCTGGTGAATTCTCTCACCCTCCCGCGCTTCTGACTGTACCCAGCGCATGTATAAACAAAACAAACAAATAAAATAAATAAAAACATGCCTCTATAAAAAAAAAAAAAAAAAAAAAAATCTTAGTTGCATTATGTACTTTAAAGAAATACAGAGAGTTAGGAGAGCATAATAAAGATACCTGTTAAGTTTGGGGTGGGGCTAGTTTGGGGCGGGCTGGGGTTCCTTGTGGAACTCTTCTCTGTGTTCCATGAAGAAGGAACACAAAATAGAAGCTTACATTGACCGAGTAAAAAAACTTGAATGGGAGTAGGGATTGGCAGGGCAGGGAGACAGGGAGGGGTAGTTAATTATTGATTATGCTGTTACTTATAAAGTGATCTACTGCTGTAGTGTCTTAAGAATGGAATTCTGCTCTTATCTTTCACCATTGTTGTAAACCCTGTGGTTGAGACATGCACATTCCTTATTGCAGCATTCACAGTTATGGTTCTCCTTCCTGGTCAGTAATTGTTTTGAAATCTCCTCTGGCAGCACCAGAAAGGTTCCAGTCTCGATGGGGAATCACTGTATATACAGAAGAAGATAATTCAGAATATAAGCCAAGTGTCAAATCAGTTAGACGTTACTGGAATTCACAGAAGGGTGCTATCATGTAGATATGGAGTGACTGTGGGGAGCCTTGGAGGTAGTGAGGCTTGCACTGAAGAGAGAGACTCAGAAAAGCAGAGAAGGAAGGAAGCAGACATTTCCAGTAGGGCGAAAGGAGCAGGCGAAGGCAGGCAAATGGGATTCTGCCTTGCAGGCAGGGAAGGGTGCGCTGTTGCCTATCGGCCAAGGTCAAACCTACTCTCTGATTGGTTCCAGAGTAAAAAGGAAGATGGGAGAGGACCTGGAAAGGACCTTGCTATCAGCCTAAGGAATTGGGACTTCCATCATTTGAGCAGAAAGCTGGCATGTAGAGAATTTTTTTAAAAATCTGGCAGTGTTTGGTTTCCAAACTAGGCCCCGAGACATGAGAGTGCCTGGACTAGTGGCTCACTAATTCAGTCCCACACAGGCTTACGGAACACCTCCCGTGTGGTGGTGGGAAGGCCGGGGGATGTGTGGGAGAGCACTTGCTTAAGGAACCTAAAGGCTTGTGCAAGGGCATATGGGGACTGGACCTGTGAGTGGAGCGGGAGGGGCAGGGGTTGGGAGGGTGGGGTCACAGGCTGCAGGAGTCAGGGCTCCATAGAACAGTTACTGTATTCAAGCTTTACACTAATTATTCCTAATCCCTCCACCAGCACTAAAAAGATACATTTTGTTTCCTCATGTTAACAAATAAGGAAGTTGATACTTAGTGAGTTTAAGTAATTTTCCTAAGGTTACACAGTACATGCAGAGTTGGCAGGGCGCCTGAGCCTGCTTTAGGGTACAGGCAAGTGTGTACCAGGGACTGGTGCCATAGACTTTCTCTTTTGCTAGTAGACTGTCTACTAGGCTTGTCCACCTGGAAGTCCTGGCATGGCCTCCTCACTGCAACTCAGAATCTGTGCCCCCCACCCCCACCCCCTCTCCAGCCCAAGACTGGTAGTGTGACCATCTGTTTAGTCACTCAGGCCATAATCTTGGGGGTTGACCTTGATGTCACTTCTCTCTCCTCCCTCACCCTCCTCAGCACCCAGTAGTCACTTCAGCCAGTCAGCTGCTGCTTTCAGTTTCTCTGGAATTGATCCTTCTTCGTGCTCACTGTCACTTCCCTAGTTAGAATTCTTTTTACCTCTTTCCTGAACTGTTGTCTTTCTCCTCTAAATCTTTGTCCTTTCTTCTTCTCTCGTATACTCCTACAATCCATTGTCCACAAGGCTACCAGAATGATCTCTCAACAACCCAAGATCCAACTGTTTTGCTATCTTGGTTAAAAGATAGCAAAGCTCTACTCTAGAACTTAACAAGGAGGCCTTGCCTTATTTTTCTAGACAAGTATTTTGTGGTTCACCGTGCCAGCACTCATTCCTCTCTCCACACAGCTCCCAAGGTATTCTCTTTCTGGAAGGTCCTGTCCTCCTGGTTTGTCCAAGGAACACCATTTCAATTTATTCCTAAAACAGACAAGGGAGCAGGCAAAAAATCACCCTCAGTTTAGAGGACCTTCACTGTCCAGGCTTTCTGAGTGGGGCTGGGTATTCTCTTTCGTTATTGCCACCAGGCACCTGGGGGTGTGTCGGGTGTGGGCTCAGCACAGCACATAATAATTTGTATATCTGCCTCCTTAAAATTGGCACCCCTTAAGCGCAGAGGTTTTTATCTTCAGTTTTAAATCTGTGGTATCTAGTTGGTTACATGTTCATAGTAGCTCAGTAACTGCTGAATGAATAACACAAGTGTAGTTAAGCAGTTGAATAGAATGCATTGAAACTTTGGAGAAAGCTCAGAATTACGGAATGAAGATGTTTACTAAAGAATCAACATCAAATAATTGACAGTGTTTTCACAAATGTTTGGTCTCATTTTGTTCTGCTTGAAAGCACTGTGAGACAGGCAGGGCAGGTGTTAATATTCTCATTTTAGAAGTGAAGACCGTGAAGTGCAGAGAAGTAAAATGACTTGCTCAGGGTCTTAAACATACAGCCTGAATTCTGTCTTCTCCAGCCAAGTTTTATCTTTTTTTTTTTTTTACTGTTTTGCATTTTTTTACTTTGTGTTTTTTTTTTTTGGTTGTTGTTGTTTCTATTTTGCTTCCTCTTGCTCTTTCTTCCACATTTTAAATCAAGATATAATTCATGAACCATAAAATTCACCATTTTAATGTGTAGAATTCAAGTGGGTTTTAGTGTATTTACAAAGTTGCGCCACCACCACTGGTATCTAATTCCAGAACATTTCATCCTCCAAAAAGAAACTCTGTACCCGTTAGCGGTCCCTCCCCTTCCTTCCTCCTCCAGCCTCTGGCAATCACTGATCTACTTTTTGTCTCTATGGATTTGCCTGTTCTGGACATTTCATATAAATAGAATCTTACAATGTATGACCTTTTGTGTCTAGTTTCTTTCTTTCTCCTAACATAGTGTTTTTGGAGTTCACCCATGTTGTGGCATGGCGCAGTGCTTGCTATGGCTGAGTAGTATTCCCTTGTATGTATTTACCTTCTTTTGTTTTTCCGTTTACCAGTTGGTAGAGATTTGGGTTGTTTCCACTTTTTGGTTATAATGCTGCTGTGACATTTGTATATAAGATTTTGCATACAATATTTAAGTGTTCTTGGGGTAGTTCTCTAGTTACTTGGGAGTAGAATTACTGGGTTATATGGTCACTCTGTGTTTAACTTTTTGAGGAACTGTTTTCCGCAAGGGTTACACTATTTTACTTCCCCATCAGCAAGTCTGAGGGGTGCTCATTTCTTCACATCCTTACCAATACTTGTTATTACCAGATTAAAAAAAGAAATTATAGCCACCATCATGGCTAAGTATAGTCTAATGCTACTTCCTCTGCTCCCATGTAACTGTGGGGAAAGTTTGTGAGATGAAAGAGTTGTGGGACAAACCTACCTGTGGAAGTTACGGTGAAAGAGTGGCTCAGAGAAGGAAGAGAGCCCCATTGAAATACTGTGCTGTGAAGGACACATTTTGACAAGGAGAGGGCATCATCAGTGAGATATTTGTGTAAATAGTGAAGAAAAGTAGCGACGATATACATGATACATTATTTTCATCTGGTAGACCTGAAAAAATGTGGTGAAATCTATGCCAGGGAAATATTTCTTGATGATGAAGTATGAAAACTTCAGGAGGTTTTAGACTCACGTGGGTCAGGTCCAGTCAAGATGTAGCCATCAAGCCTTAAAAGAAGTCAAGATTTTGTTTGAACATAGGAAACTAACAGAGTATTCCTTCATTAGAGGACAGATGTGACGGGATCTGAAAACCCTTCCTTATAATCATTTAGCACATTCACCTACTTGCAAACTTGTCTCTTCCCCATTACTTACCTTTGCTTGTCCGGGTGTGGTTTGCTCATGGAGAAGATTTCCCATTTTGTTGTTACAGGCTGGTTTTGATGTTTATGATAGATTCGAATATGAGTCATCCACATGTCCTGGGAGCCAGGCTCCAGAGGGAGTTGGGCCTGGGTAGCTCTTTTGTCCAATTGACGAGGTGTCCTCTCTCTGCCAGGTAAAGCGGTACCAGTGCACCTTTGAGGGCTGTCCCCGCACCTACAGCACAGCAGGCAACCTGCGCACCCACCAGAAGACTCACCGAGGAGAATATACCTTTGTCTGTAACCAGGAGGGCTGCGGCAAGGCCTTCCTCACCTCCTACAGCCTCAGGATCCACGTGCGAGTGCACACGAAGGAGAAGCCATTTGAGTGTGACGTGCAGGGCTGCGAGAAGGCCTTCAACACGCTGTACAGGTCGGCCTCTCCTAGCCTCGCACCCTCACTTTGTCACGCTCTCTCTGAACACAGTCCAGTGGCCACTTTTGGGGCTATAGAGAGCACAGCTGTATTCAGTTGTTTAAAATTCATCAGAGGAACTTGTTACTTAATGATTGGCATGTATTGCTTGGTTAAAAGTGACAATACACTTTTTTTAAGATTTATTTTTATTGGGCCTCCCCAGTGGCGCAGCGGTTGAGCGCTGGGCTGCGAAGCTGCCCGCAGCCTCTGCAGCGCCGGTTCGATCCCTGGCTGCAGGTCAGGGGTCCCACATGGCGCGCAGACCTCTCTTGCCGCCCACTGCTCCCCTCAGCAGTGTACTTCGGTCCTTCTGCCTGTTCTGCTCCCCGCTCTGGCTCTGGTGCATTCTCTCACCCTCCTGCGCTTCTGACTGTACCCAGTGCTTGTATAAATAAATAAATAAATCTTTTTAAAAAAAAAAAAGATTTATTTTTATTTATACAAGAACTAGGGTACTGGCCAGAGGCGCGGGAGGGTGAGAGGATTCACCAGAAACAGAGTGGGGAGCAGAACAGGCAGACTGACCGAAAACACTGCTGAGGGGAGCAGCGGGTGAGGCAGGAGAGGTCTGCCACACCATGTGGGTATTTCCCTGGCCAGCCAGGAATCTAACCCACACTGCAGAGGCTGCGGACAGCTTCACGGTACCATGTTCAACCTGCTGTACTGCCGGGGAGGCCCAACAATACATTTTTTTATTTTTTGTTTTGTTCTGAGTAGAACTGGGGTGTAGGCCAGAGGTGCGGCGGGGGGTGGGGAGGTGAGAGGATTCACCAGTGACAGAATGGGGAGCAGAATAGGCAGATCTACTGAGATACACTGCTGAGGGGAGCAATAGATGAGACAGGAGAGGTCTGCTCACCATATGTGGGTCAACTTGATGGCCAGGGATTGAACTCAGACCGTAGAAGTGATAGCGCTGAGATTTAACCCCTAGGAGGCCCTAGGGAAGCCACCAGGGAGGCCCACATATCAGTTTAGATTTGTATCTCCTGGAGTGACAGTCTTCCCTGGGGATTTTAGTATTTGACATAGAGTAATGTCTCCCCTTGGCTCAGGATCTCAGTACTAAGTTTTCTGTTATTTTCTTTTCTACCTCACCTTGGTGGTAATGTTTTGCTGTCTTGAGAAGTAGGGAGTGGCGTCACTCATTAGGCATTTCTCTTCTCTACTGTTTATGTCAGGAGACTTATATTAGTCAAATTTAATATATGTAACAATAACTCTTACTGTGTGTTCTGAGCTAAGCCTCACAGCAGCAGATAAGTAAAACTGAAACACAGAGGGATTTTGTAACTGGCTCTGGGTTTCTCCCAGCAGGGGGATAGGTGACACTGGGCTATGAGACCCAGGCAGTCTGGCTCCAGAGTCACACTCATGCCACTGTGCTGTCTGCTTCTCTGAATTTCTCTTTCAGCAAAAAATTTTGGATACTAATATATAATGGATATAGAATTCTTTTTTCTTTTTTTTTTTTTAAATGTTCTTTGTTATTATTTTATTTATTTATTTATTTACTTACTTATACAAGCGCTGGGTACAGTCAGAAGCGCGGGAGGGCGAGAGGATTCACCAGAGCCAGAGCGGGGAGCAGAGCAGGCAGAAGGACCGAAGCACACTGCTGAGGGGAGCAGCGGGCGGCAGGAGAGGTCTGCGCGCCATGTGGGACCCTCCTCCGGTGGCCGGGGAGCAGCCGGGGATCGAACCGGCGCTGCAGAGGCTGCGGGCAGCCTCGCAACCCAGCGCTCAACCGCTGCGCCACCAGGGGAGGCCCTGGATATAGAATTCTTAAGCACTTGATCCTGAAGTACATTAAGCTGATGTGGGAAGACTCTGTAGCACATTATGACAAAGAGAATTTCTCTGGGGTATCTTGTAGGCTGAAAGCACATCAGAGGCTTCACACAGGGAAAACGTTTAACTGTGAATCTCAAGGCTGCAGCAAGTACTTCACCACGCTCAGTGATCTGAGGAAGCACATTCGAACCCATACAGGAGAAAAGCCATTTCGGTAGGTCTTACCATTTTCTGTTTGTCATTGACCAGGTTTTAGCTAGGTATCTTGATGTACTCTAACACTGTTGATCATGGATAGAAAATTCCACTCACTAGTTCTTTGGCAGTGTGAATGTTCCCCAAGAGAGCTAGAATCAACTACTGCAGATCTGAGGAGTGGCAGTGGATTCCAAGAGCATCCTTACTCTGTGGATGGTGACCTTTCTGCTTCACTTGTGTCAAGTTTTTTTTTTTTTTTAAAGATTTATTTATTATGCATACAATAATTGGGGTACAGGCCAGAAGTGTGGAGGGTAAGCGTATTCATCAGAGACAGAGTGGGGAGCAGAACAGGCAGATCGACTGAAATACACTGCTAAGGGGAGCAGCAGGCAAGGCAGGAGAGGTCTGCTGCGCCATGTGGGTAGCTCCCTGGCCAGCCGGGGATTGAACTTGTGCTGCAGTGGCTGCAGATAGCTTCATAGTGCTCCGTCTTTAACCCCTTGCACCACCAGGAAGGCCCATTTTAAGCATTTTTAAGAAGCATTTGTCAAGACTCACTTATGTGGTTGGTACCTTTGTCACAGGCTCTCCTCTTGAGAATCTTAGTCTGTGGGAAAAGAAGCACAAGTAACCAGGCAATATCTGAGACTGAGGGGACCGCAGGCAGGATACCTGCCTACCAATCCAGATGGAGTCGGGAGGAGGAAGCAAGAGGGAAAATGCGGGCTAGGAATGCCTACATTAGTGATGTAGATATTTTATTTTGTTACTTCTCTAGTTGTTTCTTTGTAATAGCTTATGTATGTGCATATCAGCATGTAAGGAACATCCATTTTTACTGTTATCTACCTCAGTTTATGTATTTTTATAAACATGTTGAATGAAGGATTTGTATCGTTTGCTTTCTTCTCTGCTCATAGCATATAGCATTGTTCTGGGCATTCAGTAGGTATTCAGAAGCAACTTTGGGATGATTATATGACATTTTAAATGAGATAATCAGTTGTAAGGATTTCCCCCTAATATAATATAGATGTGTTACTGAAAATTGCCCACAGTTAGCTATGCCTTTCAATTTTGGCAGGAGATGTTGCTGTTATGTTGATGGCAATAAAGAATGCTATCTCCTCCTTCTCATCTCCTCATGAGGGTATTTTGAAATTAAAAAGTCTTTGAGGACAGTTTTAAAATTGCAGATTCATTCCTGAGTCATAACCCTTCTAAAAGCAAAAGTGTATAGATTCTAATTGGTTACTCTGTATATGTGTGATGCTTACTTTTCTTTTTTCCCCTCATTGACTCTTGAGGGGAATTCTGATTTTTATTCACTCACAAGTATTTCTTTTTGTAATTATTTTAACTGCTAACTCTTAGTAGATGGTACTTTAGACACAGTGATTACATGTAATTTAAGAGTAAATATGCTTTAGAGAAGCTTTCCATTAAAGAAATAAATTATTTTTGCTTAAAATACCTTCATTCATATCAATAATTATTGAATGCCTGCTATGTGTGAGAACTATAGCAGATATAAGTGGACCCTGCACTCAAAGAGTTTACAATTTAGAACAGATAACAAGTGTATACTCATGGAGATAAAATGAGATTGGAAATGAGAGGTGCCATAAAAAAAGCTTGTAGATAAATGCCTTAGGAGTTTTGAGGAAGGAGAGAGTACATGCAGCTTTAATTATCAGGAAAGTAAAAGAGAAAGAAAATGATCTTGACACTGAAGATTATGGATAAGTCACTAAAATCCATATGTTCTGACTGATTTTGTCCAGTGTTAATTTCAGATTCCATGCCTCCATGAGAGCCACTGTACCCCACTGTTAATATTCCTAATATTCTACTGGCAGTTGGTTTTCCATATCGGGTGTCAGTGTCAGTAGAGTTCTGTTAAGTAATTAATCAAAAGACACTGTCAGGGATCTCAACACATACCTTATCTACAGAAGAGATCCCTCCCCTGGGCCTTCAGCTCCCTCTGATCCCAGATTTGTCACCTTACTTTCCCTTTCTTCGTTCTCGTCTCTAAAATCAGTTTCACTGAGCCCAACTGAGCATTCTGAATTGTTTTAGTTGGTGTGTCTAGAGATATTAAAGATGAAAGTCTGTTTCTCTTTGCTTATAAAACTTACTAGGTGTGATCATGATGGCTGTGGAAAAGCATTTGCAGCAAGCCACCACCTTAAAACTCACGTCCGGACACATACTGGTGAGTTTAGGTTAATTTTTTTTATTTTTATTTTTATTTTATTTATTTTTTTTAAACATTATTTATTTATACAAGAACCGGGTACAGGCCAGATTCGCAAGAGGGTGAGAGGATTCACCAGAGACAGAGCAGGGAACAGAACAGGCAGACTGACTGAAATACACTGCTGAGGGGAGCAGCGGGCATGACAGGAGAGGTCTGCTGCGCCATGTGGGACCCTTGCAGGTCGGCTGGGATTGAACCGGCGCTGCAGAGACTGCAGACAGCTTCACAGTGCTGTGCTCAACCGTCTGTGCCACCAGGGGAGGCCCAATTTTTGTTTTTTGTTTTAACCTTCACTGAGCCGGTAATGATCAGTGCTTCTGTTGAGACTTGTAGAACTTGTGGAAGGGAAGCAAGCCTGATCAGCCTTAGCCTTCCCCTCTAATGTTTACATTTCTTTCAGAGGAAAAAGAATCTGTAAGTTAGATTCAGGAATCCAACCTGAAGAAATGAAACCAATACAAAGATTAAAAAAAAAAAAAACCTAATTTGCTCTTCATACTTCCCAGGAGTAACCCATTCTCAGTGCTTTGCTGTACATTATTTTAGGGCTGGGATGGTTAACATGTAATTATATGGCTTTTAATAACTATTACCTAGACCCTTATAAGAATATTTACTTCTCTCTGTTAGGGAAAAGTTAATTTCTTAATCCAGTGAAATGACTTTATGGTAAAATTAATGTTACTTGTCATTCTTGCAGGTGAAAGACCGTTTTTCTGCCCCAGTAATGGCTGTGAGAAAACATTCAGCACTCAGTACAGTCTCAAAAGTCACATGAAAGGTCACGATAACAAAGGACACTCATATAATGCACTTCCAAATCACAATGGATCAGAGGTGTGCAGTGTTTTGTCTCTTGTTTTGATCTGGGCACCACAGAACAACAAACTGCTATGTATCAAATAAAAAGTTAAAACATCTCTATGAATCTGCTGGCAAGGGGGAAGAAATTAGGGTTAAGAGCTATGTCTTTGTGGTGGGTGGTAGAAGCCAGAAATCATACCACGTTCCCTTTACTTCAGCCTCTGTCTCAGCTCCCCTCATCCCCGTTAGGTGTCGTAGAAAGGTGTCTTGAACCAAAGGCCTCAGAATGGCTTTCAAAGGACTGGCCAGATACTCTGTAAGGATATTATCTTCCCCTTCATGTCTGTAAAATGATATATCTGCACTCGAGTTTAAGGCACAAATTAATGACTTGCCCCACTATCCATTAATCCATCACTGGAGAACCAGTTAGTGCCTGGAGGGTCCCTTTCCATTTTGAATTGTCTGCAGAGCAAAAGGTTTGAGAGCCACTGCTTTAAGACACCGACTCTCAGACCAAGCCCCCAGAAGTCTTGTCTGTTTTTTGACAAGCCCCTCTACCATATTACCCTCTCTTCTCTTGCTCCATTAGAGAAATTCTGGGGCAAATTTACTATTATTACTTCTAATATGGTATTGTTCTTTTACCTCCTGTCTTTCAAATCTAGAATGTGAGTACTGTTACTTTCTTCCTGTTTCATAGATACACAAACTGAAGCACACTGACCCCCCTTTTGAACAATTAGTTTCTAATTTTGAGATTTTGATTTGGGTTGAGAGAATATCCTCTATTTTTTTTAAAAGATTTATTTTTATTTATGCATACAAGAACTGGGGGGTAGGCCAGAGGGGCAGGGAGTGAGAGGATTCACCAGAGACAGAATAGGGAACAGAGCAGGCAGATCTACTAACATTCACTGCTGAGGGGAGCAGCAGGTGAGACAGGAGAGGTCTGCTGACCCATGTAGGTCAGCTCCCTGACTGGGGATCAAACTCATGTCGCAGTGGCTGGTGGTAGCTTGACAGTGCTGAGACTTTAACCCCTGTGCCACCAGGGAGGCCCTAGAGAACATCCTGTAATTCTGTGGTTTCCGATTTTTAAATAGCAATATCACTTTAAAGGACTCTTCCCTTGCATTTTATTAGTAGTAATTGATACTTACTGAGTGTTTACTGTGTTCTAAGAGTTGTACTTCTAAATGGATTATCTCACAAGAGCTCTATGAGGTCATTAGAATTATTATCCCCATGTTGCTGACAAAAAAGCTTGAGGAAGGGAGAAATGAAATAACTTACATAAGTATTCAAAGCTTATAATTAATCTCATTTCAGCTGGGAGTCTGATTCCAGAACCTTGACCCCCTCTGTTAAGAGGCAAAGTACCATTGACTGTGGAGACTGCAGCCTTTGGAGCTCAGCAGCCTGAGCACAAATCCAAGCTCTTCCACTAATAATGTGACCTTAGGCAAATGGTCTCTTCATACCAGTTTCTTCATCTGTAAAACCAGCTGAAAACATTAAAATTTGAGAGTCTTTTGTCTACTAAACTGCATTTACTAAGTGATGATCAATTGTCTCATTTTCGTAACAATCCAAGGATAGTTTAACTGCCCATAACCTCTAAGCTGGGAGTGCTCAGTGCTCAGCTCTCAGCTTCTCTGTGGACTGTGCATTCCCCAGTGAAGTGAATCTCCTCTTCCAGTGAATCTACTCTAAGCTTTAAATGCCATCTAGATTGGCTTCGAATCCTGAATTTTTATGTCCAGGCTGGATCTCTTTCTGAACCTTAGATTTGTGTATTCACCTGCCTGTGGACATCCCCTAAATAATATCTTCTCACCTCATACTTAACATGCCAAAAACTGTTCCTCCTATACTCTTACCTGCCTTAGTAAGTGACACCTCAGTTTTTTCTAGGGGCAGGGACCAAAATTTTTAGTCGTTGTTGATTCCTGTTTTTTTTTCCCATCACACTTTGCTGCACACTAGCGAAGTCTCAGCTATACCCAGATTCTATATCTGGAATCCGAGTGCTTCATCCCATCTTTTACTTGGATTATTGTGATAACCTGCTAAGCAGTCTTCTTAGCACCTTTTATGCCTTTCATCCCACTGCCATTCTACTCTTACATTCACTATTTAGATATTACCCAGAGTGAGCTTTCTAAATTATAAAAAGCAAATAGTTTCTGTCCTCTGCTTATAACTCTCCAATAGCTTCTCATATCTCTTAAAGAAAAAGTCAAAATCTTTATTATAGTCCATCAGGCCCCACACACTCTAGCCTGGTCACATTTCTTTTTCTTTTTTTTTTTTTAATAATAAATTTTATTTTTATATTCCCCATACAATTGCAGCCCCCCCCATTCTGACCCCAATCCCTCCCCTCCCACCCCCGCCCCCCTAAAAGTGTCTCTGGTTCGTAGTTTTTTGTTGATTTTGATTTTCACTTTCTTATAGTTATTCGTTTTCCTGGTCCCTTATTTAAGTTTTCTAGATTCCTGCTATGAGTGAGACCATCCGGTATTTTTCTTTTTCTTTTTGGCTTATTTCGCTGAGCATGATCCCTTCCAGTGCCATCCATGTTGCTGCAAATTGCATGTGTTTATCTTTTTTGAATGCTGAGTAATATTCCATGGTATATATGTACCACATCTTCTTAATCCAGTCATCTATTTTTGGGCATTTGGGTTGTTTCCAAAGCTTAGCTATTGTAAACAGTGCTGCTATAAACATAGGGGTGCAGGTGTTCTTTGGAATTGATGTTTCTGTGTCCTTTGGGTAAATACCTAGGAGTGGAATTGCTGGATCATATGGAAGCTCTATGTTTAGTAGGTCCAGAAATCTCCACACAGCTCTCCACAGTGGTTGGACCAGTTTGCACTCCCACCAACAGTGCAGAAGAGTTCCTTTTTCTCCACACCCTCGCCAACATTTGTTGTTGCTAGTTTTTTTAATATGTGCCATTCTCACTGGTGTAAGATGGTATCTCATGGTAGTTTTGATTTGCATTTCCCTGATGACAAGTGATGTTGAACATTTTTTCAAATGCCTGTTGGCCATTTGCATTTCCTCTTCAGAGAAGTTTCTTTTTAGCTCTTCTGCCCATTTTTTGACTGGATTCTTTTCTTTGTTGTTGTTAAGTCTCATCAGCTCTTTGCAGATTTTTGTGATCAGTCCTTTATCATTAGTGTTGGGTGCAAAAATGTTCTCCCAGGTGGTGGGGTTTCTCTTTGTTTTTGTTATTGTCTCTTTTGCTGTGCAGAAGCTCTTTAATTTGATGTAGTCCCAGCTGTTTATCTTCGCCTTCACTATCGCTGCTTTGGGTGATGTGTCTGTAAAGATGTCTTTGATGTGCAAATCACGTAGTGTTTCGCCTATATTTCCTTCTATATATTTTATGGTTTCAGGTCTTATGTCTAGTTCTTTAATCCATTTTGAGTTGATTTTTGTGTATGGTGTGAGGTAGTGGTCAAGCTTCATTCTTTTGCATGTAGCGACCCAGTTTTCCCAGCACCATTTATTGAACAAACAATCTTTGCTCCAATGCATAGTCTTTGCTCCTTTGTCAAAGATTAGTTGACCATAAATCTGTGGGTTTATTTCTGGATTTTCTATTCGATTCCATTGGTCTGTATGTCTGTTCTTGTTCCAATACCATGCAGTTTTGATGATTATGGCTTTGTAGTAGAGTTTGAAGTCTGGGAGTGTGATGCCTCCATTCCCTTCTTTTTTTTTCAGGAGAGCTTTGGCTATTCGGGGTTTTTTGTGATTCCATATGAATTTCATCAATAATTGTTCTATTTCTTTGAAGAATGACATTGAAATTTTGATTGGAATAGCATTGAATCTGTATATTGCTTTTGGAAGGATGGCCATTTTAATAATGTTTATTCTTCCAATCCATGAGCAGGGGATGTCTTTCCATTTCTTTGTGTCTTCTTCTATTTCTTTTAACAGTGTTTTATAGTTTTCTTTGTATAGGTCCTTTACCTCTTTTGTTAGATTTATTCCCAAATATTTGATTTTTTTTGTTTCAATAAAAAAAGGGATGGTTTTTTTGATTTCTTCTTCTTCAGATTTATTGTTTGTGTATAGGAAGGCTACTGACTTTTGCGTGTTGATTTTGTATCCTGCCACTTTACTGAACTGATTGATGAGTTGAATTAGTTTTTCTGTGGACTTTTTGGGGTTCTCTATGTATATTATCATATCATCTGCAAATAGTGATAGTTTGACTTCTTCTTTTCCTATTTGGATTCCTTGGATGTCTTTCTCTTGTCTTATTGCTCTGGCTAGGACTTCCAGTATTATATTGAAAAGCAGTGGTGAGAGTGGACATCCTTGTCTTGTTCCAGATCTTAATGGAATTGCTTTCAGCTTTTCACCATTGAGAATGATACTGGCTGTTGGCTTGTCATAGATGGCCTTTATGATGTTGAGGTATGTTCCTTGTATCCCAAGAATTTCAAGGGCTTTTATCATGAATGGGTGTTGCACTTTGTCGAAAGCTTTCTCAGCATCTATTGATATTATCATATGGTTTTTATATTTCTTTTTGTTGATGTGTTGGATAACGTTGATTGATTTTCGGATGTTAAACCATCCTTGTGTCCCTGGAATGAATCCTACTTGGTCGTGGTGAATTATCTTATGGATGCATTGTTGGATTCTGATAGCTAAAATTTTATTGAGGATTTTTGCATCAGTGTTCATTAGGGAGATTGGCCTGTAGTTTTCCTTTTTTGTGTTGTCCTTGTTTGGTTTTTAGCCTGGTCACATTTCTGACTTAATCTACTTCTCTTCCTCTCAGGTCAGCCATACTATCTTCCTTGTGGCCCCTGGAGCAATAGAGGCCCACTCCTGCCTCTGGGCCTTTGTACTTGCTATCCCCTCTGTTTGGAATGCTTTCCCTAGATGTGTGCATGGCCAAACCCACTTTCCTTTAGTACCTGCTCAGATGCTGCCTTATAGACCAGACCTTTCCTGACCTAATAGAAAAGTTACCTCCTATCCCAACATTCCCTATTCTCCTTACCTTCTATAGTGTTTCTCATCAGTTTGCATACTATATTTATTTGGGTTTTGCGCCCCTTCCCAACTAGAATGTAAACTCTCTGGTGGCATGGACTTTGTTTTACTCATTATTGTGTCAAAGAACCTGGAACAGTGCCTAATACATAGTAACTGTTCAGTGAATATTTGTTGAATGCTCTCATGAATGGGAACGTCTGATCCCCATGGGGTAATAAGCAGGGTCACCAGATAAAGTTTGTCAGTGGCCACTGTCATTCTAGGAGTTGAGAGGTAGGCTAGGCAGCTGTGTTTGAGTAGTAAATCCTCAGTATTGCCCTGAGTAAGGATCCCGGAGATGCCTAATTGGGGCCACAGTGATATAATAAAAGGAAGGTAGAATTTTAATCAGAAACACCAAGTTTGTGTTCTGCTAGTTAGCAATGTAATTTTGAGCAGTTTGCTGCCAGTCTTAGCATTAATTTTTTATTTAAAATGGGAATATGAAATAATACTTCAAAAATGTATATGAATAGCAAATGAAGTCATGTGAAATTGGTTTATAAATGATAAAATCAAATATACAAATATTAATTTATGTTATTATATCTTTTGTTATTTTGAAGCCTGATACCTTTCCAGATAACACATTTAGATATTTTTAACCTTATGGACTGTGTGATCATCAAGTGTTTTATTACATGATATGTTTCTGTACAGCCTGATTTTTTTGTTATTTAGTTAGAATTTATCTCTTTCACAGGATACAAATCACTCACTTTGTCTAAGTCACTTGAGCCTCCTGTCCACAGATTCTGAACTTCGAGAAAATTCCAATACAGTAAGTGTGTTTGTGTGGTGAGGGTGCTTGAAGAGCGGGTGTGAGATCCAGTGCGCTCGTTTGGCGGGAGGAGCGGGAGTGGGTGTCTGGAGTCCTCCAGGTTTAGTTGTATTCATTCACCAGCCATTTGGTTTTTTTGTTTTGTTTTCTTTTCCTGATAAGAGCTCTCACTGAGAGGCTGTGCTTTCTGATGCCTAATGCCTTTTGACCCAGGGCACTCACCTGATGACCTGGCTCCCCCATTTTCTTTATTCACTTAACAAATAGTTTTTGAATGCCTACTCCATCGGGTGGTATGCCAGCACTGAGCTTGTAGTGATAAAACAGTTGTTGTGGTCTCTCCTTGAGGAACTTACAATTAATCCACTGTAGGATAGAGCTGGAGTTCCAGTTTCCAGACTTTCCCAAGCCCTACTGGTCTGACCTACTAGTTTGGCCTGAACCAGTGAGTTTACCACACTGGGGATATGAGGGGAACCGCCTCTATGGGCCCACTGCCAAAGGAAATTCTATTGTCTCTTGATCTGATTTCTCTAGTTCACTTTGTTAGCAATTTCCCTGCCACCCTTAAGATTCTGTGATGTGCCTTGCAGACCACTGCAGTATCTGAGCTTTTGTGGCCTCCCTCATCAGGATCTGTGCACATCACTGTGTCACCAACACTGGTAGTTAAGTGGGCATTTTTTGTTGTTTTCCTCTGGAAAATAAATATAGCTTAGATTAGTTTTCCTGTGGATATATTCATAATAAATAAGAAGGAATCAACGTGATGGGAAGTATTTGGACAGAAATTGAATGAGGAATACTGTAAAAAAAACATTTCTCAAAGTGTGGTCAATAGACTCATCTATAGCACCTCTAACACTGTAGATTCTTGGACCACAGCCCATGCCTGCTTGGGCAGCATTCTCTGGGAGTAGCATCTGATGCTGCATTTTAATATAAGCACCTCAAAATCTTGGTTCTTCTGCTAACAGCAGAGTTGCTCTTTTCAAACCAACATTCCTGCAGAAAAAAAACACTTATGGTAAGAAAAACATAAAAACCAACAACTTGAAGGCACCAGAGTGCAACCAATTAGGCAGAAGTGATGCTTAGAAGAAGAGGCCATTTGGAAGATAACAAAAGGCACTGGATGGGTTCTCAGGTTTTGTGCTTTTCCACTTTGGGTCAAGACCTGGTTGTCACCAAACAAGATGGCTAAAACAGTAAGTCTTACTTGCTTAAATAACCAAAGGACAGAGTTCAGTGCTAGCATAGCACCTGGAAAATGAGGGGAGATGATCTAGAAAGGAAAGTACCACAAAGGGGAAGCCCCAAGTTCTTTGTATAAACTCTGCCTAATTATCTGATCCCTGAGCTGAGAATGTATATGGACAGATCCTAAACAGTCCCTGCTTAGCTTGTTTAGCCAAGGCTAAAGAATTTGACAAAGGTTACAGCTGCTTTCCACTGCTGGGGAGTTAGTTGAGTTGAAGCATCGCCAAATCAATGGAATGTTAGAACAAACAACCACTCTTCCAAGAAGTGTAACAGAACCCAGAGTGTCTACAACATGTCATTTGCAATGTCCAGAGTAATTCAAAATGAATAAACATAAGAAGAAATAGGATAACATTACCCTTACTCATGAGAAAAGGTTATCTGCGGAGACCAACTCCAAGATTAGCCAGATGTTAGAATTAGCAGATTAGGATTTTAAAGTAACTCTTAAATACTCAAGGACAAAAAAGGAATATGCTTGCAATGATTGTGAACAAACAGGATATCAGCAGAGAAATAGAAACTAAAAAATACACTAAATGGAAATTTTGGAACTGAAATAGATCTGAAATTTAAAAATTACAGAATGGGCAGATTGGAAATGACAGAAGAATCTTAATTTGAGGATAGAAAAATAGAAATTAACCAGTCCAAAGAATAAAGAAAAACATTAAATAAGTACTTTTTATATTGTTATGCATATTCATATTTCAGAGCTAATTTTTTACAAGAAATTTCTACAGCGGGTGACCTAGATTCTCTCTGAATTAAGCAACCTAACATTTCTGGATAGAATATCTCTGTAAGACATTGAGTTCAGTAAATTAGGAGTCCACTCTCTGTCAGGCTGTGCCCAGAGTAGCCTTGGGGAAGCTTTCTGGAGCCCCAGGGTCACTAGATAAGGAATCCTGGCTGGTATGAGAGGGGACATTAAGTGCCTGTTAAAAGGAAATCTTCAGTTGCTGAGGTGAGAAATTGGACACCTGAAAGTTATCCAGTATTGTAAACGAATATTACCTTAATAAAAAATAGGGGAGGGGTTCTGTTTTTTTCCACCATAAATTACGTCAGCAAGAGAGACGTGCATTTATCACCCAACATTTATTCCAGTATTGAAACTAGTTTTATTTTCAGTCTTTGAAACAAAGGCCACAGTTCCTTGAAGTAATAGGATTCATTTTTCTTTATTTTACTTTAAAGAATTATAAGTTGCGGGCCTCCCTGGTGGCGCAGTGGTTGAGCGCTGGGTTGCGAACCTGCCCGCAGCCTCTGTGGCGCCAGTTCGATCCCCGGCTGCTCCCCAGCCACCGGAGGAGGGTCCCACATGGCGCGCAGACCTCTCCTGCCGCCCGCTGCTCCCCTCAGCAGTGTACTTCGGTCCTTCTGCCTGCTCTGCTCCCGGCTCTGGCTCTGGTGAATTCTCTCACCCTCCCGCGCTTCTGACTGTACCCAGTGCATGTATAAACAAAGCAAACAAACAAACAAATAAATAAACATGCCTCTATAAAAAAAAAAAAGAATTATAAGTTGCTAAAATCAAATGATAAGTTTTTATGGGATAATCATGTTATAGGTTTCTGGGCAGCCACATGTGTATGTGTCCTGGAAATGAACTTTACTCAGCTCTTTTGTCGGTCCTAGGTTTTTCTTGGTCATAGACTTTTGTTTTAGGTATATATACAACAATGCATACATTGAAGCTTACATACAATGGCTATACATATAATGTAAAAAGTACTTACTTGGTATCAGTATGAAAAGTTTGTAGGCCACCTTCTTGGCTTGTGATTCTTATCTCCCTCTAGACTAGAAGCCAGAAGCCCCACATAGTTTTCTGTTTCAGCTTTTATCATACTAACAATCAGATTCACTCAACTTCCTCTCATTCTTCCAGTGGATGGAATCATGCTAGCATAATTGGCTCTCTTGGCTCAAATGCCAGTTTCATCTCAATCTAGAGGACCTCTAGATTGCTGAACAGCTCCACCCTAGAGTGCTCCTTCTCCCTCCCAGAAGCAGAGCTGTTGCAAAGTGACCTTAAAACACAGGTTGGCGCTGGGACAAAAATCTGGCCCCAAGATGGGTTTTGTTTAGCCTATTCAGTGATTTTAATTATTTCCAGCTACTTGTTTTTAACTACATATCAGTACATTTCAAATAAAAATCCAAATTTCATGCTGTTCTTAAGCTCTGGTGACCCCTATGCCTATATAACCAAGAGGCCGCATCCCTGAAGCCTTTAGATGACAGGGCACACACGCTGCAGTTTGCCACAGTCCCCTCAGTCAGCCAGTCCCCCCTTCATCTTTTTCTGTACTTGCCTAGATTTCTGGAGCCTGTTGCCTTTGTCATTCTTGCCTACAAAATGTGGGAGGTGGCTGAAGGAGATGGCAGACAGAATTGCTGTTTCCCCCTCCCCTTACTTAACTGAAGAGAAGCCTGGATGTGGTCATTTTATCTGGTGCCTACCAGGAGTCAGACCCAGAGGGCATAATATGTTGTTAGCATCTTATCTTTTTATAATTGCCTTATAAGTTACAGAGAAACCTGCAATGACAATTATAAAGTGATCACTATTGTCTCATTACAAGTTCCTTTATATTATATAATTCATTGCCATGTGTATATGCTAGACTATCATAGATGTTATACAATGGCCTCAAAAGATATTATATATATTATTTTTATTAAATAAGAAAAGCAAGTGGCAATTAATGGCTATTATACAATCCGTTATGTAGGATTTATCTTTGAGAACAGGGGTCAGCAAACTTTTTTGAAAAGGGCCAGACAGCAAATATTTTTGGCTTTGTTTACCCTGTGGCCTCTGTCATACTCTTCAGCTCTGCAATCGAAGCACCAAGGCAGCATAGGTAATTCAGAAATGAACTCTCATGCTGGTATTCCAGTATAATGTCATTGATTAAAAACAGGCATTTGGCCTGCAGGCCATTTTACCTACTCCTGTTTGAGGGTATTTGAGAACCCAAGTGTTCAATGTCTGACGTTTAAGGAAATATATACCACCTTGGGAAAGAGGAGTTAGAAACAATAAGCCCATCAAAAGAGCACTCTAGCTCTGCTGCTCTGTGTTCTCTTGTGTGCAGAATTGCCCAGGAGAGTTGAGTCTCATGACTTCTTTGTCTCTGTCCATCAGACACAGGGCCAGGATCTCAGCACAATTTCACCAGCAATCATCTTTGAATCAATGTTCCAGAATGTAGATGATCCAGCAATTCAGGAAGATCCTCAACAGACAGGTTTGTTATACAGACTTTCGTCCTGCTCAGACCTCGGCACCAGGGAAGGCACTTCAGCCCTGTTGACATGCTGAACGACAGGCTAAATAGTTCAGTTCCTTTGACTGAAGTGTACTTTCAGTGATGTGCCAATTCCAGCTTTACTTTCCCTCAGCAAGGGGCTATTTTAGGTTCTACTTCCCCTCGATCCCCAATGAAGAGGGTTTCCTTTTCTGAAAGCTGTTGGTCATGTTAAAAAATGAGAGGAACTGTGAGTGATTCCTTCTTCTGATGTGATACCCTGTTCGTGAGTGGGTACACCTTCAGATGCTAGATCCAACTGCATTTGAGTGAAAATCTGTTCATGAAACTTCCTAGTAGTCACAGAATGTGTTGCCGTTCAGGCCACAAGGATGTCTAACATCTTTTCCAGAGAAACCTTAGGACACGTTTTTTGATGGTTAGACATCTACTGGGTCTTCACATTTAGAATGCAAAGTTGATGGTAAAACCTGGTACTTGATCAGAGGTGTCATTCAATGAAAAGCAAGAGGCCAGCCTGCTGGCAGTGGAGGATTGGCACAGACAGGCTTCAGCTGTCTTTGGTTTAGCCCATAATGACTGTTTTTGTAGCTTCTGTAAGGCTTGGGATATGTATATATATTTCTATTTCTTTTTCTTGCCAGCTGCCTTGATTGAAAGTTTTAATGGTGATGCAGAGTCAGTCAGTGATGTTCCGCCATCCACAGGAAATTCAGCATCTTTATCTCTTCCACTTGTACTGCAGCCTGGCATCTCCGAGCCACCCCAGCCTCTACTACCAGCCTCAGCATCGTCTGCTCCTCCGCCTGCTCCCTCCCTAGGAACTGGTTCCCGGCAAGCTGCATATGGCAACCCCCCTGCTCTCTTACAAGCTCCAGAAGTGCCTGTTCCCCACAGCACACAGTTTGCTGCTAGTCATCAAGAGTTTCTTCCGCACCCCCAGGCACCGCCCCCCATCGTACCAGGACTTTCTGTTGTTGCTGGAGCTTCTGCATCAGCAGCAGCAGTGGCATCAGCTGTGGCAGCACCACCCCAACCACAAAGTACTACTGAGCCCCTACCAGCCATGGTCCAGACTCTACCCCTGGGTGCCAACCCTGTCCTAACTAATAATCCCACTATAACCATCACCCCGACTCCCAACACGGCTATCCTGCAGTCCAGCCTAGTCATGGGAGAACAGAACTTACAATGGATATTAAATGGTGCCACCAGTTCGCCGCAAAACCAAGAACAAATTGTAAGTATCATGTATGAACACATTTAGTGGCGTGAAGTGGTTCACATAGGTGACCTGTTGAGAGACTTTTACTTCAGAAAAAGAGTGGTTATCATATCTGCCCTAAAGCAGTAATTCTCTCTCTCTCAGTCATTTTCCCCATACTCGAGTGATAGAAATCCCAGGAGTGCCATGGTCAATACTTTCAAGATGGAGGTAGGGAAACAGCCTTCCAGTTGACCTAGGAATAGGCAATTGAACAAATACTCCATCTCCACCAGCCAGTACAGGAAAGCAGGCAGCAAACTCCAGAGACCCAAGAACGTTTCAGGAAAGCAGGTTATCCTTCAAGGCAGAATCAGACTGAGGTGAGGGCTGATGCGGTCCTGTCAGATGGAGCCAGACAGCAGTGGCCAAGTCAGAAATAACCTGTGCTCCAAAAGCCCACCTTTGAGCCATCTCCTATGAATGTGTTTGGTCTTAGTGAATAAGGAAATGAATTGGTCATTCGATTCAGTATAATTTGAGAGCCTGGCATTTACCAGCTGCCGTGCACAATTTCTTGTGAATACAGAAAAATATAAGCCACGATCTCTTGTTTATAAACACTTACATTCTAGTTAAAGAGGCTAACATGCCTAAAAGAAAGTTAGTATTACCAGTAAGTAAAGTGCCAAGTAATAATAAAAATGGCAATAAAGCTATGATTTTTTGAACCCTTAATGTGTGTAAGGGCTAATAGTGCTAAACTAAGCACTTTCAAAAATTGAGGCTCTAATGTCAGGCATTATCTTATGAACATTTTTTAGATTACATTATTCTAGATTTTATTAAACATAGTATAGAGAATTTCCATATACTTCATGTTCACCCCATTCCCATTATTCTATTAACATCTTGCATGAGTGTGGTACATTTGTATTAATAATGTTGATATTTATTATTAACTGAAGCCCACAGTTTGCATTAGTATTCACTATGAGTTCTGACAAATGCATGGTGTCATGTGCTATCACTGCAGTGTCCAAGAGAGTTTCACCACCCTAAACATTCTCTGTGCTCCCTTACCCCTTTATTTTCTCCCCTGACCTGTTCACTAGCTCTGTATGTCTTCATCGTAGATGTCACCCTCTGGGCTAAGCCAGCCCTTTCTTTTTCTTTTCTTTTTTTAAAAATATATTTATTTATTTATGCATACAAGAACTGAGGGACAGGCCAGAGGTGAGGGGGGTGAGAGGATTCACCAGAGACAGAGTGGGGAGGAGAACAGGTGGACCTACTGAAATACACTGCTGAGGGGAGCAGCGGGGAGACAGGAGAGGTCTGCTGCACCATGTAGGTAGCTCCCTGGTCGGGGATCGAACTTATGCTGCAGTGGCTGTGAAAGCTTAATAGGCTGTCTTTAGCCCCTGTGCCACCAGTGGTGGTTGTCATGGAAACAGCTTATGTGTGCTGGATCTCACCATTTCATGTTCACAGCATCCTTTGGGAGGTTCTCTGGTTGTCACCTTCATGTTCACAGATGAGCAAACTGAGACCTCTTAGAGACTAAATCACTTGCCTGATCTTGACAACTAATAAGTGGCAGAGCTTGGACTTGAATGGAGGTGTGGCAGAGTCCAGGCCCACCCCTGAGCAGCTGCTCTATCCCACTTGCATCATCCTGCCCGGGCCTTTACGGGGCCCTTGGGCCTGGGAGAGGAAGACACAGCCTGAGCACAGAGAAGACTGCACTGCTTTCATGGGAGTATTGGGGCGGCTGGGGGTAGAGACTTAGATATGTAGCTTCCTCTGGGACCCCGCTGAAAACACGAGCAGCTTGAGAAAAGTGCCCTTGGTGGACCTTTCGGCACACAGAATTTACTGGAGTAGGCAGCTGGGAGAGAGCCAAGTAGTAGGGGACAAAGCTGGCTACACTGTCAACACTGAATGTCAAACACTGTGGTGACCTCACGTCAGAGCACAAACAACACATCACTCAGTGTAAAAATTCCGAACACTGAGGGTTTTCTGTCTTGCATGACTGTTACAATTGGGGCAGCTTCAAGTCCTTGGAGAGCACTGTGTTTAAGGGCCATAATGTGATTTTTTTTCTTCCAGCAGCAAGCCTCTAAAGTTGAGAAGGTGTTTTTTACCACTGCAGTCCCAGTAGCCAGCAGCACGGGTATGTAACTCTGTGTTAGCTTTAAAAGAAAGTCAACTCTCTGGGCCCCTTGAGCATGGTTGATTGTGGCTTTGCCCCAGCTTTTAAAATGTTCAAGTTTGTCACATTGTACTATTTATTAAGAGTATCTCCTGTTCTGACAACTATTGGAAGGTAATGCGCTTGCAGTAGACAGGCCACATTTAACACTCTTTAGTAATGGTTCTTCCTCTTTCAGCTATAGCTTTTAAATATAGCCAGAAAAGAATTTGAATCACAGTTGGTGCTAAAGAAGGCAGCTGTTAATTCACTGGACTCCTTTCTAATTACAATCGTGAAGAAATAGCATCTGGGTCAGAGACTCAGATAGAGCTAAAAGGTCCCTTTTTTTTTAAGCTCTTCATTTTGTAGAGTAAGAAACTGGGGCCCTGAAACATTGAATGACTCCCTCAGAGTCATATGTGAGCTTGTGGCAGAGCTGAAAGTATCAGTACTCAGGGCACCTAACTCCGATTCTGTTCTCCTGCCCCTTGGTCTCCAGCCCTGCTAGACACAGAAAGCCTGTCTGAATTCAGAGTGTGCACGACACATTCAAAGAAAGAGAGAATGTGCTTGCACGCAGGCTGGCTGCAGAGGTATGCTGGAACTCACTGGATGCCAGAGACGGGGTCTAAAGCTGGAGTGAGATGTCCTAAATGGGCAATGGGCAGGCAATGTGAGACAGGCCCTGTGCAGTGTAGGGAGGTATGGGAGGAGGATGGTAGCTCTCTGCCCACCTGCCAGTGCCAACTGCTCTCGGCCCAGCCCTCCATTAAGCCTGCTGGTGGGGAGTGAGCTGGGTCTTCAGAGTAAAGAGTAAAATCTCCAGAAAAACAGCCTGTCTAGGGAGTTTCGGCAAAAAGAAGAACCTATAGATCCAGAGATATGAAGAATATGTCAGGATTAGGGTGGCATCTGCTGTGCCTGGCATGGGGGTGCAGGGGAGAAGGGCGGCAAGTGAAGCTGGAGACACGGGTACATCTAGATAATGTGCGTGGCTTTATAAGGAAGAGGGACTATGTCTGGGGGTTGGGAAGTGATAGAGGCTCTTTACTAGAAAAGGAATGCAGCCCAATTTAAGGCAGAACAAAGCCTGGAGTGTGCTGTCCACCCTTCCCACGCTTCCTGCCTCCATGGCACTCAGCGCTCACCTGGTCTGTGTACCCCTGCCCCTCGTGCCCCTGCCTGTGGCAACTTGAAGAGCAGTCTGTCTCGCCTCTCTCGCAGGGAGCTCTGTTCAGCAGATTGGCCTCAGTGTTCCTGTGATCATCATCAAACAGGAGGAGGCGTGTCAGTGTCAGTGCGCGTGCCGGGACTCTGCCAAGGAGCGGGCGGCCGGCAGGAGAAAGGGCTGTTCTTCCCCACCCCCTCCAGAGCCGAGCTCCCAGCCTCCCGATGGGCCCAGCCTGAAGCCACCACCACAGACTTTCTCCTCGCCCCCTGTCCCCTTGTCATCATCCTCCACCATATCCTCTTCCTGTGAGCAAAGCAGACAAGCAGAGACTCCTTCCGACCCTCAGACAGAAACGTTAAGTGCCATGGATGTGTCAGAGTTTCTGTCCCTCCAGAACCTGGACACCCCTTCCAATCTGATTCCCATTGAAGCACTACTGCAGGGGGAGGAGGAGATGGGTCTGACCAGCAGCTTCTCCAAGTGAAAGGCCTGGACATGCTTTCCTCTAGGAAGCGGGTGAGCAGGAAGTGTGAGGTGCGATGCCTACCATCATGGGTCAGCAGTTTGAAGGATGAAGAAATCTACTGTTTGAAATCCTCACCTTTCAGACATATTTTCTTTATTCCTGTCCCAGGAGCATCCACATCAAGAAACTGATCTTTGGAGGAAACAAAACAAACAAAAAAACTAAAAAAAGCTAAGTTATAAATGAACTGTCTGGCTGCACTGTAGGTCACTTTTGCTTATTGTCATGTGAACATGGGAATTAAGGTTACTCGTATGCATAAAAATTCTAAATGAAAGGGTGTGGTTTCCATCAATCTGATGTTGCCCATCCCTTGCACTGGGGTCTTTGGTTTGGGCAGCAGAGTTCAGTGTGTCGGGTGTTGCTCCTCCCCGTGTGTCTTTTGAGTCTGAGACTGAAGCTTGCCTGGGACGCCAGACCCTCACTCCATGGGGGGCAGGGAGCGGCAAAGGCGGGTCAGACTGCCATGAGCTGGACAGGGATCGGGTGACATGGTTGTGTTGTTTGAGCTGGTGCTGGTGGAGCTCGGGGTGACTGTGGCAGGGGTCCTCCTGCGGCCTGCCCAGTCTGATGGGCTGCTAAAGCCTGGGCCACAGCTGTGACATGGTCTGCTTCTGCAGGGGCCCGAGGCGAGTTGTTGAGTGTTCTCTGGCTGACTTGTATGCAGAGCAGGCTCTAGCAGCATCCTCAGTCTTTGCCTTCCTGGTTCTTTCTATGTCTCAGTAGCTTGCCAGGGCTTGCAGATGGCAGTGAGTTTTCCTTGGGGTACATCCCTGTTTTGTCCTAGAGAGGACATGTGACTTATGGCCAGTGGCTGGTCAGTGGTCTGCCTTCCTTTAATGGTATTTTCCTCCTCAGAGCACAAGAGCTGCATTTTGCTTATCAGGAGAAGGTGTGGCTTTAAGGGAGTTTAAGGCAGCATGTCATTGGCAGGCCAGGTGTCCCCGCTCCCATCTCCACCCCTCACCCCTCTGGGTTTTGCATACAGCCTAGTACAGTGCAAAGAAGGATGTGACTTGCTCAGCTTAGTTATGATTTCTAAACAAAAACAAAAACAAAAAAAATAAAAATGATGATCTTCTACTCAGGGTGAAACAAAACACAAAATTCCCCTTCCACCAAAAAGCCTGAAATGTTGCAATAAGTTATCTCATTTGGAATGTTTTCATTAAGTTGTTAAAGGAAAAAACAACTGGGGGGTGGGGGGAGGACCTGTGTATAGAATTGTATCCATCTGTCTGCGTTTGGCTCCAAGTCATTGCCTCTTAAAATCTAAAACACAATTCCACACAAAAGTGGAAAGTTTCTCTCAACTGCTGTGGTGAGCACTCACCAAACTCACCAAGCTCTGGAACAAGGCAGGCCGGGGTCTAGCCTGGCCACTGCTTCCCAGGTGCCTCCCTGCCTGAGAACAGAGCACCTTCGAGCAGGGCTGCTCTCCTGAGTCAAGATCAGATGAAAGCGGCCATCGTTTTGCCTTCCTTACAGTCACCTGGATTTGTCACTTGCCTGTTCTTACTCAGGGTCAGCCAAAACAGTACCCAGAGCAGATCATTTACCTAGGAGCCAGAGGCCCTTCTTCTAACAGGATGTTCAGGGACTGACTTGGACAGAAAGGCTGGTGGTAAATGTTGCCATGAGGAGAAATAGGCTTAAAGGCAAGCCGCTGGTGGTTTCTTATTCTGGGAGTCGAGTCAGGAGGTTCGATTGCTTTTTGATCTTTTGCTCTCCCCTCACCCAAAAGACTAGTGGGTTCTGGTGACCACTGACATCAGCAGAAGTTGATCTTTACCACAGCAGGTTAGCCTTCTGGGTTGTCCTTGGCTGTCTTTGAGTCTTGCACCCACAGGAAGCTGTGAGGTGGGACCCTTGCTGTTTTCTCTACAGTTTCTGAGAGAGCAGCACAATGGGGATCCCCAAGTTAGCTCACATCGGACGACAGAAATGACCTCCCCACATCCCCATCCTCCAATCACCTGGATTTGGTTCCCTGGTAACTGAGGTGAGAAACAGGTGTCCAGGGAGCGTCAAAGGTCTTGCTCCAGTTAGGCCCTTCCCAGGTCAATGACTTATCTGCTCTCCAAAGTTTGGGGTGAGGAAGAAGCAGCTTAAAACAGCGTTTAGGCTGACAGGTTTTTCTAGTTGGAAGTTATCTGCCTTTTGAGAGTGACTCAAGATTGCATGGAGTAGTGCTACCAGTTCTAATCAGCTTTGGAAAAATCAGGAATGTGCTTAAGATGCTAGTGTGTGGTTGTAAAGAGCTGGTTTATTCCACAGGGTAGACTGTCTTTGCTTCCTTTTCCAGCATTCTCTCCTTCCACCCCTCCTGTAAGCCTGGCCTTTAGTACCAGGGACTCTGGAGAAGAGGGGGCCCATGGCTGAAGTGGTGCCAGAAAGGACACGGAGAGGGTGGTTGCCCAAACCTGACCACGAACCGAGGGTGGGGCTAGGGAAGGTCTGTGGACTTGCAGCTGGTGACATCAAGCCCCTTTACCTGCTATGGCAACCAACCATTTTTGCCCTGTCAACTTAACTTCCAGCTCCCACTGGCATCTCCAGTCAGACTGCTCCTTTAAAGGTTACTAGTCAGTACCAGAAATTGAAGTTCATGGGCTTAGGAGGTGGTAGGAAAAACTAGTTGGCACCACCAAACTGCCTTAGCAAATCCGGCCCTTCCCAGGCAGGTGGGTGCAGCATGGAGGGAAAGTGGCCCTGCCTTTCCTGGCAGGGTCTGGGCGATCACGAGTTTGGTGAGAGCGGCTGGTGTCATTTATTGACTTCCACCCCCAATTGGAGATCATGGAATAAAGCCTGGGAGGGGCCTTAAGGTGTGAAAACCTCTCTGGGTAGAAGGCGGGGGACTTCTCGTCACCACCTCTGGGAGAGTCAGTAGATGGGAGTTTTACCTTTAGGGTCAAGGCAGTGGACTGATGGGAATAATGGAGGATGGATGGGTTTTCCCGAGAGACTTTGTATAATGCTGAATGTGTCCAGAGGGACGAGTTTGCAGAACCTCATATTGGTATATTAGAGAAATAATAAAATAAAAAAGCACTTTAGGTTATTTTATCTTTAACCCAATTGCTGCAATTTCTTTTGTGTGTGTGTGTGTGTGTGTGTGTGTGTGTGTGTGTATATATATATATATATACACATGCATATATATATATACATATACATATACATATATATATATATATATACTTTCCACAAAGTTTTATTTTTTGCTCAGAATAAAAAGTTAAATTGAGGTGTGAAAAGAAAAGCACTTACCTTGGTGCAATATGTGTAGCTTGATGGTCGTTGTCCCATGTGGCCCTGGCCCGGCCACCTTTCCCCCAGGATCAGCCCTGTACTATAAGACTGTCTGTAGGGAAACACTATTATGCATTCTCAGCATCTGTTCAATCTATGCAAGCCTTCCCTGTGTGCCAGAGGGCGCCCTCTCCAGCCCTCTGAAGAACTGCTGTGGGTCCTGTTTTCTTCTGCTGACTGTTGAGGCCCTTCATCACTTCTGGTCCCTTGCCATCTTTCCCCTTTTCACCACTACAAAGGAAGGAACAGGTTGTTCCTAGGTAGAAAACCTGGCACCTTCTAGACTTTAATATTTGTAATCACATCCATTGTCCTTAATCCTAAAGGCTTCTCCAGAGTCACAGGAACCACTGACATGTGGAATTGCAACCATATTGCTAAAGAGTATAATTTTCCTAAGGCACCAATCAGAAATATGTTTGGGGAGGTGTAGTGGTAGTTTGGGGGGAGGGACAGGCAGCAGGAGCCATTTCCATTCTGTACCCCATACCCTGCCTATGCTGGCTCTTTGAGCAAGAAGGCCTCTAGGCTTTATTAACTCCAGAAAACCAGGGTGTTAACAATCTGCTTTATCAGCTTCTCCTTCACTTCCAGCTGTCCCCCCACCCCCCACACCACCACCATTTTATCTTCAAGTCTCAGGCTACTGTAGAATGGATAAATTAAAAATATACTTCAGCCAAAGCAGAAAGGTTTCTGTAGATCCAATGTGCACAAATACTTCTGCTGTGACATAGATTGGAAGCTATCCATTCCTTAGTATTGGGGAGTGGGGGAGGCAACAAAAGAGAATTAAGCATATTTCTGATTGGTCAGTCAGTTTAGCCTGTTACCTCTCGTGTACTTTTTGCGGGGAAAGGGATAGGGTCCCATGTTTCTTCTCATGCCCTTTGGGGAAGCTGATGATCACTGTTTGGGCATTTCTCACTGTTATTTCTGTTCAAGAGAGGGCTTCTCAGTCTGCACTGAAAAATGCAAATTAAACTGGATCTTTATGTCAATGTGTACATAGTCCAAGATTTTTTTACTGGAAGCAAAGTTTAAAACCGCACACTGCCCTTTTGGTGGTGTGCCTGCTGGGCCAAAAATTGGGTGATAATGTAGTGTCACTTTCTCAGCTCAATGCAGTTTCTACTCTTTTTCTTATGGGAAAATTTTTCATAAAACCTTTTTTCACCAAAACCCAGGGGTGTTTTTTGCAATATCCTTGTTACCCTTGTAGTGGTGCCAAGTCAGAGGCCTCTCTTGCCCTTCTCCCCGGTGTCCTCAGGCCTCCCTGGGGCGCTGTTTGACTCAACAGGCTACATCCTTTATTGTGTTTTAGAGAATGTAAGGGCTGGGGGTGGGAGTTCAAGGTGGCTGTCCCCTGCCCTCCCATCTCCTCCTAGTCTCTCTTTGGGGAAAGTGGCTGGAAATAGGTTTTTGCTGAATTTCTGGCTCAGATCCTCTGGCCAGAAAAGGCAAGACCCACAAGAGCCTTCTTCTTTGACACATACTAGTCATTGGCCAGAGGTTTGGTGACAGTTTTTTAAATCCCAAATAATTTTATTTGGATTATGTAAAAACCTATCAAATTTATTTGTGAAACATGGGAACAACGGACTTCCACTGAGCGATATGAAAACGTTACAGGTTCAGTACTTCCAAAGGAAGAAACCTCCAAACCCAAAAAGAGTAAATATGAATTTGTATTTTTGAAGAATGTGAAATAATGGTGTTTGCTTAATTGCTCATTTTGTATAAACTTAATATTGTACTTTATCTGCTACGAAGTGAAAATTTAACTTTTTGGAATTGAAAAAGCAATATTAAATACTAATGAAATCCTAATTAAATGCTTATTTAAATCCGGTAGTATCTGTGGCATTTCTTCCCACCTCTGCCCATGGCTGACAATTTTAACCACTTTTTCCCCTCCCCAGCATTCAGAGTCTTAGAGAGGGGAGAGAAAGGAAAGGTCGGTCACCAGGAGAGTCTGCAGGTTTCCTTTTAATCAAGGCTCTGCTGAAAGTGTTTGTGGGGCTAGGCGCCCCCCAAGTATGAAATGGACATGTAACACCACCTGGACCCCCAAAGCAGGCCAGACCACGCCGGCGAGCACTGCTGGTCTGCCCGATTCCGGGTAATCAGACTGGGTATTCGCTGGCTGCATTTCTAAGCTCAGCACTGCCTTCAGCCAGGATGAAGTGGGAGTGAACCCAGATGCTAGTAGAGCTGCCATCCCAGGCTGAGAGCCAAGTACCGGCCACTGCCAGTGAAAACTGGCCCCTCTATAGAAGGGAGTTGCTCAGAGTCCAGCCACCAGCCCCCGGGAGAGAAAGAAGTCAGGGCACCCGGCTCGGGAATGATCAGGGCTCCGCAGCTCCATCGCCTGTATCCTTTGAAAAACCACCTCTGGCGGAGACAGCTGGCTGGGGGGGCGCTCCCGTTTTGGCCGAGACGTTCTGGTAGGAACAGAAAGGAAAAATATCAGGCTGGGAGGAAAGGCCTTGGCTTAGGCCCCACGAGATGTGGCCACTTGGCATTTGGATAGCACTTAAGTATTTCAAAGCCTCTATCTACGCCCAGGTTAAAGGAGATTGGGGGTAAAACGGTGGGGACAATCTTCACCCTCCAAGGGGAGCTAGAGCTTAGAGCAAGTCCAGCCAGTGGTCAGTCCCCACCCCCAAGGCCCAGCCCGGGGTGGGCACTGACCCCGCCACCAGCCGGCTCCGGGCGCCGGCGGCCCAGCTGCCGCAGCATCTCCTCACAGGCGGCGATGGTGTCCAGGAGCTGCCGCTGCCGCTGCTCCACGGCGTCCAGCAGCTGCTGGGCGCGCTCATCCCGGGGCGGCTGCGGGGGTGGCCTCCCGCCGAGCCCCAGCCCCGCCTTCCCACGGTCCACGCCGGCAGCCTCCCTGGCCGGGAGAGAGCGAGAGACAGACGGTCAGGGCCGGCGCTCGTGCGGGGTTCGAGACCCTTCCCCCCGCCCCGACAGGCCCCCTCTCACCCCCGTGACCAGTCTGTGCCCGGGCCCCATTCCATCTCCGCCTGCGCGGCCCGACCACCGCCCCCCTTTCGGCAGCCCCCCTCTCCCCAGCGCTGCGCTAAGGCTCCGCAAAGATGCGCCCCGCCCCGTCCCCACCGGTCTCCTTCAATCCTCCTGGGGGTCGTGGTCCCTTTAAGTTGCCCGGCGCGGAGGTGGGGCCGAGCCTCCCGGACCGGAAGCTGGCGGGGCGCGTCACTTCCTCCCGGAAGCGGGCCTTGGCGGATGTCTCCGGCGCGTCCGTGCAGGGGACTGAGGGCCGCGGTGGCTGCCAGCGTGGGATTCAGCGAGGGGCCGGCCGGCTCCGCCCGGAGCGACCGCCTCCTCCGCCCGCCGAGTCCTGCTCCGGCGGCGCCGGGGGCCCGGCTGCTGCGGCTCCCGGGAAGCGGGGCCGTGCGGGCCGCAAGGCCGGAGCGCGCCGGCTGGACCGAGGCGCTGCGGGCCGCCGTGGCCGAGCTGCGCGCCGGCGCCGTGGTGGCTGTCCCCACCGATACGTTGTACGGCCTGGCCTGCTCGGCGAGCTGCTCGGCGGCACTGGGCGCTGTGTACCGCCTCAAGGGCCGCAGCGAGGCCAAGCCGCTGGCCGTATGCCTGGGCCGCGTGGCCGACGTCTACAGGTGAGGCCGCCCCGACCCGGCCCCGCTGGGGGCGGCACCGCGGGAGGGGCTTCCGGTGACAGGCTTGGGAGACTGAGGCGCCGAGGACGGGAGGGGCTGGTCCAGGCGCACCAGGAATCCGGAACTGGAAGTGTGTGTCGAGCCCTTGGCGATTGCCAGCCCTGAGCGAGATGTTGGGGCGCAGCGAGGAACCGGGCGGGCCGTCCCTGTTCTCTTGGCTGTCTAGTGGTGAAGGAGGCGGGGAGGGATTACCGCGGTTTGAAAAAATGACAAACCCGGTAACCTAATTTAGCGAGCCGTGCGGTGAAAATAAAAGACGGAAAGCGGTGCCAGCGGTGCCGCTGTTGTAGCCTCGGAAACCAGAGGCTTGTGGACGCCAAGCCTGCGGTGCACCTCTGGAGCTCCACCCCCAACGCAAGCTGTTAGGGCGTGGAAGAACAGCCCTTTTCTGGATCTGCCTAGAATCTGGGATAGGACCAGCAGCGGCCCTTCATCTTTGGATAGATTTGTGCCTCTTTGTTTTCCAGGTACTGCCACGTGAAAGTACCTGAAGGGCTCCTGAAAGATCTGTTACCAGGACCAGTTACACTGGTGATGGAACGCTCAGAGGAACTCAATAAGGACTTGAACCCCTTCACTCCTGTGAGTCAGATTTTCTCGTGGCCCCCAGACTCTTGGGATTTGACTCGGATACAGGCCAGGCTCACCCACCGCCCTTTCCAACTTTGTATCGCCCTTTCTTTTGCCTCCTAGCTTGTGGGCATCCGGATTCCTGATCATGCCTTCATACAGGACTTGACTGAGGTATTTGGGGGACCTCTTGCTCTCACCAGTGCCAACCTCAGCTCCCAGGCCAGTTCTCTGAATGTGGAGGTGAGAACCCCGTCCTTCCCCAGAAACATCACCAGGCCAGACAGTTTCCTCTGAACCAGTGGCATTGACCATGCATGAAATTGCCTGGCCAGAGAGTTACCCTTTTGGTCTAATGGTGGGGCTATGCCCAGGTGGCAGGGGAGAGAGAGAGAGAGAGAGTGAGTGTGTGTGTGGGGGGGGGGGGGAGTGTGTGTGGTGGTGGTGGTGGGGTAGGGGGGATTGAAAATACCTTGGAATAGTTTTATTAAAGTTTAAGAGGCCGAGGGAAGAACTGGTGACTCCTTCCTACTGACTTTCTAATAATAGGAAACATTATAAATAAAATCATTCCTTCTCTTTTCTGTGGAGGTAGCAGCTGTTGGAGAATACAGACTTATGCAATAAGTCTGTACAACAATGGTGTAAAGGTTCCATTTTGGAAGCCGCAGTTCCAAAGATTTAAATAACTCCTGACCTTGTTCTCTTACATCTGCCTCAGGCCAGGTCAAAGAAAGTATCTTCCTAATCTTGTTTTGGCTGCATAGCTTAGAACTGTTGAGGACACAGAGAAATTTGACTTGCCGCAGGCTTTTCTTACTGAGCTTAAATGTAGATCATAGTGAAGTCATGAGGTTTTTCCATCACAGACCTAGACAGTGGGTTCAGGAGCTTTGGGAAGTGAGAGCTCAGCATCCATTCTTATTCTCAGACTGAAGGCTTTACTTAGCCTGGTGGCTGTACCCAGTGCAGAATGGGTTGAGGGATGGAAGGGGGATAATGCTTAGCTTTTAAGGAAGCAGTTGACCTAACCACACAGTAACTGGTATTTATGATTTCCCATTCCAAAATCGCAGGCCTAACTGCCTCTAGTGTTTTCATGGGTGGGGGGTGGGGGGGGAGGGTCGTAATGACAGTGCTTCATCTAGCTCAGTTAACAGTTCAGTACATGCTCCAACCCTGATAGGATTCTGTGCCCTAGGTGCTAGTGCAGTGTCCTTGGCACAGCTGATCTTTACTGAATGAACTGCTTGGGGAAGAATCTTTTTCAGATGTGGCTTTTCTCTCTTAATGCTGTATGCAGTATGACATCATTGCAGTTGCCAGGGGTAGTGTCATGCCTTTCCCCTCTGTCCTCAGGAGTTCCAGGACCTCTGGCCTCAGTTGTCCCTGGTCATTGATGGGGGGCCAATTGGGGATGGCCAGAGCCCTGAGTGTCGCCTAGGCTCCACTGTGGTTGACTTGTCTGTGCCTGGAAAGTTCAGGATCATTCGTCCAGGATGGTGAGTCTCTTCTGTGGCGTTGGGGTAGAATTTGAGGGAGGTTGGGAATGCCAAAAAACAAACAAACAAACAAAACCTTACAAAATGAAGGTGTTACCTTGAGGGGAACAGGCAGGTTTGGAGAAGTGGTTGATGGAAGGAGGCTTGGTTTACTGGTGTTTGCTGGCCTTTTCAGGATTCAGAGGGGTTCAGGGGTTTGACAAACAGAGCATAGTGACAGGGAGTTTAGCAGTCCCTGGACACTGAACCCTAGTGAGCTCAGTGCTTTGAGAAATCAAATTCTGTCTTCCATTTCTTCCTAGTGCCCTAGAAAGTACTACAGCCATTCTCCAACAGAAGTATGGGCTGCTCCCCTCACATGGATCCTGTGTGTGAAGCTCGAAAGGAGGGAGAACCCAAGGACTGGTGCTGGACACTGTGTGTCTGTTCCCTGGTGGTTGGCAAGGCCTCATTTGCAGAGGCACTAGGGCTACAACATCACTTGTCTCTTTACAGCTTTCTGAACACTGCTGACCAGGCCCCTGAAGCTGCTAGTTCAACTTCACCTCTGGTGGGGGATGAGGGGGGTACAGTGAGAGAGGTATTTATTTATTATCTACAATTTCATGGATCACCCAAAAGCTGAATAGAGACTTTGAGACTACTCCTAGGACAGCCTTGTTCGGCTAAGTTTCTTGTTTTTTTAACTTTTTGAAAAATAATATAAATAACAGATTTGAAATTTACTGAGAGTCTTCTCTCTGGTAAGTTCTAGATTAGCTAGAACACCAGCTCTACTATTTAAGTCTCAGTGACCAAAAGCACATTGTGCGTCTGAGAAGGGCACCAAGTTAGGATAATATTGTAGAGCCACAGGCCGGTTTCCTCTGGCCCTACGGGACTGGAATGCGGTGTGCTGGAAGATGGAGTGAGTCATCTTGGTCTGATGGTGTAGAAGTGAGCTCATTGGCAGGGGGTTGAGATGGGGCGTGGAGTCCAAATTAAAGGCTGTTAGAAAGTGGGCCTCTACTACCTTGCTCAGCCTTTTTTGACTCTTATTCATAAAATAAATGATTATACCAATAACACCTTTATTTAAATCCAATGTCTACGCAGCAGGCCTCTATCTTTATTCATATGTGTGACAAGTATAAACAACTCTTGTTGGGCATTTGAACTTTGTTTTTCTTTAGTAGAAAATAATGCTGCTATTAAACATCTTTATAAATGGTTTATTTTTCTTTTGAATTATTTCCTTTGAGTAGGGTTCCTGTTTTGAGGTGTATGAATGTTTTTATAGCTCTTGATACAAACTAGCCTTCAAAAGAACTAAACCAGGTTAAATCACCTTTAGCAATGTGTAAGAATTGCTGGCCATGCCATACTTTCACATTATGTACGTGTGAAATGAAGGCTCAGTATTAACTCCTTTCTGTAAATTATAACAGATTGATATCAGCCTTTTTCACCTGTCCCTGCCTGCCTTGGCTTCCTGCAGCTAAACCAGGGACTTCCCATCCTGGATGGGGTTTGTTCCCTAACTAGAGCTGGGGGTCTTTGTGGCCAGGAGGGCACTTTTTCTCCCCCTTCTTTGCACCCCAGTTCACAGAATTGGGATTCAGTCTTGAACCCGTAAGCTTCTCCATACAGTGGTTACCAATGTACTTATTTTCAAGTGAAAGTTCTAAGAATCTTCCAAGAAGGCATCCCATGGGCTTGCTTTAATGAGGGTCCTTGCTGTTAGCATATTAGTTTATTTGTAATTAAGCACTGATTTATTAAATATTCTTTTTGGAAATCTTGCTTAAATTACTAATTAAGTAAACTCACTCTTCAGCGTGCTAACATTGTAACCAACCCACCCCACATGTGAATTTGTCACAGACTTACAGGTTCAGATTGTGATTTGGAAGAGAGCAAAAGGAATACTTGCTTGAGAATACCACATCATATTTAATTACTACAAATCACAGTAGCACTGAAAATGGCTCTAGTGCGTTCATTCAGTCAAGACAGCTAAAGGGAGGAGGTGTCTTAATCCTCTCCCTAGAGCTAAATGTTCATCTGGGAAAATGTAGGCTTTGGAGCACAGAGGTATTTTCTTGGAGGGAAAAGAACTGAACTCCCAGCACAGGTTAAATTGCAAAAAAGAAAAACTTATAGCTGTGCTCAGGCACTAGCTACAAGGCCACACTAAATAAAGAAAGCTGGATCCTGGAAGCTTCTGGAAGATGGGAACCAGTCCTTGGTCAAGTTTTCCTGCAGCACCTGGCATGTGGTAAGGTGCTTGGTTAGTATGTGTTGCATGAATATGTGAACATTCAGGATTGTTTCCTGAAAATTGGGTTCAGGAATCTATAGGAAGGCTTAAATCTAGAATTTCCCTTTCAGAAAGTCTCAGCTGTAGTTTCCAAACACAGAGAAGACAAATGATGTGGGAAAGAGACCTGAAGAGAGAGGCAGAAGGGAGCAGGGTGCATGCTAGCCCAGAACCCTGACCCCCTTCCTAGAGAAGTGGCTGTGGACAACTTCACACCACCAACCTGCCAAGTTCAAAGCTAAAAATGTCCTGACAGGATGTGGAGCTGCCCTGGACCAAGTCCAGTCACCTGCCAGCCTCTATAGTTCCCTGTCTGGAACACCGCCCGGTTTTCTGTCACTGCAGAGTACCCCAGCACCATCTTGCCTGAAGAAGAGGCTCTGTTCACATGGGCTCAGGCCCAAAAGCACTCAGCTGCTGACTTGGAGACAAGCAAATGCCTTCTACCTCAGTTGAGGCCCACATGGTGACTTCTTCCATCGAGACTGGGACACCGGCCCCTCACATCAGCCACTGCTCCTTCTCTTTGATGAAGTGCTCTGCCCAGCGGCGAGTCAGCTCCAGGTACAGGCTGGGCTGATGAGGCAGGTAGTCCAAATAGAGCCGAGTTGTTGTCTTTTTAGGAATGGCCTTCTCAATCTGGGTGCCCTCGTGCCACTCATTGAAAGAGGTGATGGAGACAATCTCAGGCCTCACTGTTAGGGCCGCCTGCAGGGCTGTCTCATAGTATTTGCCATTGACCCTGTTCCGAGTATTGTGGTTGTTCCAAGGCCGGATGCTGGTGTCAATGTAACCAGGTCCCACACTGGGAATGAACATTAGATTGTTAGCATCGCAAAAGTTCTTCACAGCTTTCCAGTTCTGATGGGAGGAGCCGAAGGAGAAACCATTGGAGGCAAAGTAGGTATACATGCCATCGAATCCAGCGGCCAGGATATCATGAGTGTGGCCCTCCTCCACCAGCAGCGCTATGAAGACTCCATCATAGGGCGTGTTGCGGATTGAGTGGGGCCCGTTTGGTGTCAGGAGGTGGGCCCAGGCCTCAGGGGATGTTAGGTATGAGTCATAGATATAAAAGAGTGGAAGGCTCTTGCCCATGCTGTTCTTATAGCGGTAAAATGCGCCATGGGAGCCATACCTGAGAAGTGGGAGGAAGAAGAGCCTGAGCTGGCAGCCTAAGTTGGGAGAAGTCAGCAAGATTGTAGGACCAGCCGTGGATGAGATATTTCCTGACGCCCAAGTACAATTTAGGGTCCAGCCATGCTTCTAAGCAAGAACTTAGTTCCCTCCCTCTTCTTCCTGGCCTTGTCATACATTTATTCAAGCCTCTCTTCCCTGCTCTAGACACTGTACAAGCCACTTTCACACGTATTAATATCTATAACTCTTAAAAGGCTTGAGGGTTAAGAGGCTTGCCTCTATCACCACCATCTTTTCATCAGGGGGATTGCAGCAACAGCCACCCAAAGAGCTCCAGGCTCCCACTCTGACTCCCTAAAATCTGTTCTCTTTTTAAAGTGTAAATCAGACCTGACTGCTGCTTACCAGGGCCTAGAAGCCCCCACCTGTGTGATCTGGCCCTTCCCATCCCCATTCCTGCTGTTACCCCATCTGTCTACACCTCAGTTACATTGGCCTTTGTATTCTGCTATCAAGCTTGCCTCCTTGTAAGACGTTTGGATCTGACAACCCTATGCCTGGATTTTCTGCCTGTCCCAGGTCTTGGCAGAGCCAACTCTTCATTCAGGTGTAAGCTCACATATCATCTCAGGAAAGCCTACTTGGTGACCAATTTCTCAGGCACACTCTAACACAACACTTTTATTCTTTATTAATAATTTTTATAGTACTTTTCATTATTTTGTTTTCCCTATGTAACTATAATCTGCTTCATTGTATCCCCAATATACACTAATAACAGAAATCCTGCTAGTCCTACTCATTACTGTCTATCTGGGGCTTCGAACAGTGCCCTAGACAGCCAATAAGTAGTTTTTTAATGAATGAATGAATGATATGGACAAGTCACTTTCAAATATATTAACTACTGTAACTCTCACAAGATTCAAAGGTTAAGAGGCTTGCCTCTGATTGCAGACAGGAGACCACAGGACTGGAACTGAAACCCAGCTCCCGACTCCAAGTCCAGTGCTCTTTTACTATAAAATAGCTGTTGGGGACACAGTCATTCTGCCCTTGTGTCTCGTCCTTCTATCCCTCCTCCCATTTTGACCCCCACCAAAACCCATGCCCCAGAGCAGTCTTACGTGTCAATGATATACTTGATGTTGTCATGCAGAGTGATGTCATCCCGGCCCTTGTAGGGTTGGATGTGGAAGGCCACCTGCCACAAACAGGAGATACTGGTCAGGTGAGTATCTGTTCAGGAGCTCTAACCTATGAGGCTCATACTCCCACTGTAGCCTGGAGGGGAAGCTGAGTACAGGAAAGTCTCTGGCAACAGTGGGTTCACAAGAGATAAAAGCAGCCACTACTCGTCAGAGCCAAAAGGAGGGGCAAGAAGTCTGCCCACCTCCCACAGTAGGCATCTGGGAATCATTCTGATGGTCTATTGCAGGATGACTAATAGGTTTCAACCATGTGCGAGCTCCAAGTGACTGATGCTAGCTGCATGGAACAATGGCAAGAAATATACTGAGCTGTGTGGATGGCAAAATATGCTATGATCTGTTTAACATGTCAGTGATGGGCTCAGGAATGGCAGTGGGCTTCTGTTTTTCCTCTTTTAGCACAGGAGAGGGGAATGACTGACTGGATTGGTACATTTTGGGGGAAACAACTAGACTGCTTAATTCAGCTCCATCATGCCTCTTGAAAGTGGGCTCACCCACTGAGAAAGTTGTTCTCTACTCCTTGAAGCCCCACATTGCCATCCACTTGGCAGCTGAGGCCAGAGTTCAATTTGTGGCACATTCAACCCTTGTCTAATCTCCATCCAGGATCTGAGTCTCCAACATAACCTCTATTGTTGTGATAGTTACCTCGTCTCCCATTTGCCTACATGTCGCTCTCCTACTTTTTTCGGAATTTAAGACAATAAGATGGATGTAGGCATTATTTGTTAGAACCCCACCCCCAACACCACACTTGATATGTATTTACCATACCCAGGTTATTGCCAAGAACTTGGGTAAAGCACTAACCCTGGGGACAGAGGAGAAAAAAAATCTCCCAGTGCCAGAAAACACTTCTTGGAAACTCACCTGGATGTTGTACTGATGGGCAGTGTCCAGAATGGCGGGCACCAGATCATCTGAGGGTTCCCCATTATCATCAGCCATGCCTGGTGGATACCAGGACAGGACCAGAACGCCTGAGACACAATACAAAAGGCTACTTCACAAACATACCATGCCCCTTGCAACAGATTTGCTTCCTCACAATTTCGAATTTCATAATGGCTTCTAAATGAAAGCTTGAGGGGTTCTCTGCCAGGTTCACTTCCTGCAGAGCAACGTGCCCTGGAGCTGTCCGTGATCGTGGTGCTGAAGCACGAGGCTGCGGAAAACTTAGGGCACCGGGCTGGGCCGGGAAGAAGCTGGAGAAAAGCCAAGGTAGGAGCCACTCTCGAGGGCATCAGCAAGTGGCAGAACAAAGGGAAATGGTTGGACAAAGCCACACCCACCTGGAAGTGGCAGTCCTCCCTGGAGGAAGGGAACACCTGAGGTCCCACAGTGAGGAAATCCTGAGCAGAGGTCAAATGATGCTCCCCATGGGAAATAACATTTGTCTGTACTGTCTGCCTCGCTAGACTAAAATCTTGAGGGAAGGTCTCTACTTTGTTTATCTGGGTGCTCCTCCAGCCATTGTCTCTGGCGTTCAATTCTCCCCTCCCCCCACCATTTCCAAATACACTGAAAGGTACTGTAAAAATCCAACAGAATTCAGTGACAAAACCTGAAACAAGCAAGCCTGCCCACCCCAGTCTACGAAGGAGCTCCCAGGGACATCTTCTCAAATTCAGTACTTGATGAAAAGCTTCTGGGTCCTTTACTGCAAACAGAGTAGGGTCCATCATGCAATGTGGGCAAACTTTGCTCTGCAGCCAGCAAAAGCAGAAACGACGGAGGCTCTACCCTATACCTAATTAAAAGCACAGGCCACCCCAGGTGCTATTTCTCTGAACCCCAGACTTCTGAGGGGCCAAGATAGCCAGATCTCATGTTGCCTCCCTCATGACTTGCACACGAGGACTTGCTTCCTTCTCCTCACCCTACCTGGGACAGCTCTGGCGCTCGCGCCTTCCACTGGCCCCCCCAGCCGCTCTGCCCCTTGAAAGGGCCCTGGAATTGTGAGAGGTTAGACGGTAGAGGGTGGGGGTGATGCCTCGCGGGGAGCGCTCTAGGCGAGTAGAAGGGAAGGGATAAGAAGCCAGGCCGAAGGGTGAGTGGGACCAAAGGCCCGGCGGCAGGAAAGAGGGAACGGGGGGGGGGGTGCAGAGGGAGGCCGGGGGACAGGGCTCCCAGGGGCGGGAGGAACTCACCGATGGCCGCCTCCTTGAGCTGGGTCATGTGCTCCCGCAGCACATCGGGGTCCCGGGAACTGTAAGGTCCCAGCTCCGGGTAGAAGCTTGAGCCCAAGTCGTCGGGGGGGCTGTGGCGGCCGCGGGGGTAGCTGGCCGATATCTTGGGGTCCCAGTGTGGCACCATGACGTGGTCCCAGTGGATGTAGTGGCCCTCGCGCCGCGGGCTTCCGTACCAGGAGTAGTAGAAGGCGTGCAGGTCCGAGTAGACGCGCAGGCTCTGCCCGGGGGCGGGCTCGGCCTCCGCCGGGGCCGGCCCCGGGGGGCTGCCGGGGCCCGCGGTGCGGGGGGCGGCGGCGGCGGCGGGGGCGCGGCGGGGGCGGCCGGGGCCCGGGCGGCGGGCGCGGGGCCCCCCTCCGGGCGTCGCTCAAAGGGCGCCAGCTCCAGGCCCGGGCCCAGCGCCGGGAGGCCGTCCGGGGCCTTGAGCGTGCGCAGGCCCATGAGGGTGCCGAAGGCGAACAGCAGCACCAGGAACAGCGCGATGCAGGCGCGGCGCCGCCGCCGGGCCATGGCGGCCCCTGCGCACCTCGCGTCGGGCTCCGCTACCTCCCGGCGCGCCGCGCCATGGCCGCCCGCCCGGCTCCCGCGCGCCGCACCGCCCGCGCGCGTCCCAGGGAGACGGCGACGCCGGGCGCCGGGCGGCCCCGCCCCGCTCCCGCAGTGCGGGCGGGCCCGGCACACAGAGGACGCGGGCGGCGCGGCGCGGCGGCCCAGCGGAGGGGCGGGGCGCGGGGCGCGGGGCGCGGGGCGGCCGCCACGGCCCGGGGGGGCGGCCTCGGAGTCGCCGCGCCTCAGCCGCAGGGGCTGCGTCAGGCCGCGGGCCCGCCGAGGACCGGGCGCCTCCAGCCCAGCCCCGCGCGGTGAGCACCCGGCCGGGGAGCCAGAACGCCCCCCCCCGGGGCCCGGGCGAACGCCCCCCCTCGCCCCGGGGCCCGGGCGAACGCTCTCCCTCCCCGGGGCCCGGGCGAACGCTCTCCCCCCCCGGGGCCCGGGCGAACGCTCTCCCTCCCCGGGGCCCGGGCGAACGCTCTCCCTCCGGGGCCCGGGCGCGTCCCGGCGGCGCCGCAGCGCGCGGGGCTGAGGGCCCGGCAGGGAGGGAAGGCGGCGCCACGCTCGGGGCGCCTCGGCCACGCGGGCGTCTCCCGCTCTGCAGCCTCTTGACCTCCTTTCTGACTTCACCCGCCTCCCTGCTGGCCCCTGTGAACACCCCTCTTTGCCCCAGGCCCCCCTAAATCACGCCCTCTTTCCCTCCCCGGGCACGCCTGAAGCCCGGGAAAGGGGACCCAGGGAAAGGTCCTAAAGACGCTGCTGGAGCCTTGAAGGGACAGGAAGGCCGTGACTTGTGCAAGGTCACACCCACCAGGCTTAAGCCCAAGTGCCTGGTCTGGGACTCCTGTCCCAAGCTGGCGACAAACCCCTGAAGTCAGCGAGGACTGCAAAAGAGGGTTCCCATAAAGCACTTTTTACAGGGCCTGACAAGATAAGCGCTCAGTAGATGTTTGCCCTGATTCCTGGATTCTGAGCTCCAGAGGGCAAGCCCTGAGTCTTGCTTCCCATGTGAGATTCCAGGGACTGCATGAACAGTGTCTGCCACTCAGGTCCCCTTGCTGTTTGTTGAGTGACTGTCAGACTGGTACGATGTTCCACAGACAATGATAGAATTTTCAGTTCACATCGACTGAGTTTCTATTCTGCATTATTCATTATTTCATTTGGGGGGAAAAATTAGCTCCTTCACTGACCCATAGTAACAGCAGCTTTTGCTCATTAATCTATCAGCAGTGTCTAAAACAGATCTTGCCGTAATAGTAGGCCCAGAAAATTGAGTCTGTGAGAACTCTTGGACATAAGTGTGAGTTAAGAGGAATGCCAGCAGTAGCAGGCACCTGACTGAAGCTGGCTTATGTAATACAGAGACATATCTATTCACGAAGCAGGAAGTCCAGTGGAAGGGCAGAGTGGGTAGATTCCCTGGTTCAGCAATGACATTAGAAGCTTGAAATGCTTCCATCTCCTTGCTCTGCTGCCCCCACTGTTATAGGGAGAGGGGCAGCCCAAACCCCGCAAACCTGCCTATTCTATATAGGGTTCTGCCATCCGCCGCATCAACACAAAACATGAGACTTTAATGGGAAGGAACTTTAATACAATTAGGAAACAATACAAGAAAGGCAAAGAATCTAGTTTCTAAATCAAGCACTCAAAGTTACCCGTCCCCTCGTGGGTAAAAGTCCATCTAAATGGGATTGGCCCAGAGCAAGGCCCCAAAGCCTGCCACAAGTCTAAAGCATCTTCCAGTGGGGACCCACAGAAAAGGGTCAGAAACAACCAGACAAGCCCAGAAGGAAAAGAGCAAAATCAAAATCAAGATAAAAGCTGCCATTGTCTCCTCCCCACAGGTCTCACCCACATCTGTGTCACCCTGTCCACGACCAAAAGACAAGCGCAGTTTCTTCACGTGTCTCTATGCTCCATGCGCCTCCTCCAGGTCTCCTGGCTCCATCCTGCTTCCTTCCTCAGTCTCCTCTGCAAACTCTTCTCTTCCTGCTCAGCTCCACCCTCCATTTGGGTGGGCCAGGGAACCTGGAACCTCCCCCTTTCCTGGGGACCACCCTGTTACACCACCATTGACCTCATTCTAAAGCTGACTCCCCTCATATCGCAAAGTCACTGCCCTGGGTAGTTGAGGCTGCAGGTTCCTTTTCCCAGGCAACAGTAAGACTGGTTTCTCTTCCCCAGAAGTCCTGGAATCGTTGATCTAATCTGGTTGAGGCTTGTCCATCCCAAACAAATCATTACCAAGGGAGATGGAAATACCATGACTAGATTCGATTAAGTATTGGGGGTGGATGAAATGTTTGGAGACTTTCGTAATGTCTGCCATACACTGAGACAGCTATGGGAATGAGTAAGAGCAGGGAGAGAACAAGAATAAGCTTGGGACTCTCAGGAATGTTAGCATCAATGGTTGGGGCAGGAGAGCACATAAGGGAACAGGGAAAGAAGCCTTAAAGAGTAGGTAAGAGGATTGGGAGTGGGTGATGATGCTTTTAGATATCTGTGGGAAGAGTTTCTCCACTCTCAACTGTTCCACTATTTCAGGGAGTGTCCTGCGACACAACCGTAGCCCCCACCCTTGGTCTGGAGTCCTTGACCACCAGCCACGTTGGTTTGATCCAGGGAGGAACCAGTAATCATGCTGTTTCCCATTCTACAACCCATGGACACTGACAACAAGTGTTGTCCATTATAATTCTTTGGGGTTTTTCTCTCTGGAAAAAACTGAAAATAGATTCGTTCTTTCTAGAGGTAATTCCATTAGAGAAGGAACAAGAGACAGAGAACTTAGAGGTATCTGATCACTGATTACAGTTTCCTTGAGGCCTGGTTTCAGTGTGCAACACCAAAATAATCTTTTAGTGAGTTGCCCTTTTATTCTAAACAAGATGAGCTCGTGAAGTGGAATTTATAGGTCACCTATCAATCTCAAGCAGAGATTGAGAAAAAGACTTGGGCATAGGGAGGTCATTTGGGAGCTAGATCTAAGAGGCAAGAGTAGGAAATGGAAGAGAATGGGACAAGAAAAAAAGAAGCCGAATTACTGGTGCATGCGGAGGCTGTTACTATAGATAATGGGGCTTTGGTTCTGCCAGGACTTCCAAGAACTGTAAAGATACCTCCTGGCATTAAGAGGTGTGTGAGGCAAAAGCAATTTTTCCCCTTGCACCAACCACATGTGTTGCTTTTCCTAAGGCTCTTTACTTCCTTGAACTTCTAGTCTCTTTTGTACCAAGTAGGTTCCCATGATGTCAGAGAAGGCCCTGAGGCAGACATAAAGAAAGACAGACACATTGCGTATTTGAAGTAGGATGCTGCCAGCGAGAGGTAAGTCTGAGCTTGCACAGAACGGTCCACTATCACTGTGCTGTTGTAGCCAATTGCTACAAACTTAGCAGCTTAAAACACCACAAAAAATTATTATCTCACATTTTTTTTTTTAGTTCAAAGTCTGGGTGCAATGTGGCTCAGCTGGTTCTCTTTTTAAGACCAAAATCAAAGTATTGGGAGGACTGTGCTTTGTAGAGGCATTGGGAATGAAGCAACTTCCCAGACCACTGGCAGAATTCAGTCCTATGCCATTGTACACCTGAGGTTCCCATTTCCTGGCTGCCTGTCAGTTGGGGGGTCTTTCTCACTTTCTAGAGGCTGCCTGCAGTTCTTGGCTTTTGGTCCCCTTCTTCCATCTTCAAAGCAGCAAAATCAGGTTTGATTCTTCTCACATTCAAATCTCTCTGGCCACCTCTTGTGCCTCATTGCCCTCCTTCCTCTTCTATATTAAGAGCCCATGTGAGGGCCTGTGGGTTAAGTCTCCACGCATTCTCTGCTGTGGCCTGAGTTCAATCCCCAGCCAGGGAGCTAACCCATATGGTACAGCAGAGCTCTCTTGCCTGCTGCTCCCCTCAGCAGTAAATCCGTCTGTTCTGCTCCCCACTCTATTTCTGGTGAATACTGTCACACCCTGCACATCTGGCCTACACCCCATTTCTTCTATGCATAAATAAGTAATTTTTTAAAAAAAAAAGCCCATGTGATACATTGGGCTCAGTTGGATACCAGGACCATCTCTATTTTAAGGTCAGCTGATTAGTAACCTTAATCCCATTGGAACAGTCCTTTCATAGCAGTAACTAGATTAATGTATGAATGATTAGCCAGAGGACAAGAATCTTGGGCAGGGGACATCTTTATAATTCTGCCTATTACTGAAGCTTCTACTGAAATTAAAGTGGCCCATGGGATGTGACACATGGCTTCAAAGGTGTTTACTGTACCAGTCCTATCAGTTAGAATGTGTTCAGCTGCAAATAAGGGAAAAGATTAACTATGGCTTAAAATAGTACTTCTCAAATGTTAATGAAATCCTCTGGAGATTTTGTTAAAATGCAGATTCTGATTCTGCAGAATTGAAATTCTGCATATCTAAAAGATCTCAGATGTTGCTGGTCCTGGTGCTCTCAACTATATATTAGGATTTAAAGTATAGTTGACTGGGCCTCCCCGGTGGTGCAGCGGTTGAGCGCTGGGTTGCGAAGCTGCCCGCGGCCTCTGCGGCGCCGGTTCGATCCCCGGCTGCTCCCCGGCCACCAGAGGAGGGTCCCACATGGCGCACAGACCTCTCCTGCCGCCCGCTGCTCCCCTCAGCAGTGTACTTCGGTCCTTCTGCCTGCTCTGCTCCCCGCTCTGGCTCGGTGAATTCTCTCACCCTCCTGCGCTTCTGACTGTACCCAGTGCTTGTATAAATAAATAAATAAATCTTAAAAAAAAAAGTATAGTTGACTTATAACCCCACATTTTAAGGAGTCCACCAGAGGCTGGTTTTAGTGGGTGAAAGACACTTGGGGCATCAGATCATCTTGTCGGTGATTTCTTTGCCTTCCCATCATTGAAAAAGGACAGAAACAATTCCAAGCATCACATTTTCCACATAATAGTATCCAGATGTAGGAGAG